GATTGCCTGTTCCCTTATTATTGTTGCTTAGCCTTTCCTGTTACCCTGTGTGTGTGAGTGCACTTCCACTGATTTGTGCATGTAAGAAAGGCTAGTATATGTGGGGCACTCACTGTTCTTGGTGCTTGTTTGCTGTGGGTAAAGAGAAAGTTTTGTTTGTGAGTTTTGTTTACTCCACCTCCTTTCTCTCCTAATGCTCTCTTGACAGAAATGTTATATACTTTGTGGTAGTCACTAAGGTCTTTCAAGTATTCTCGCTATTGAGATTGAGAAGCTTCTATTGTCAAATCTTAAATTTACTATTTTTTCCAGTAAATGTTTTTGTTTTCTGCTTATTTTATTCAAAAATTTACACTGGGTTTTTTTTTTAATCTTCTATGTCTCTGAAAACTTGATCTTTTATGTCTTTCAAATGTGTTTGTTATTGCTGATGGAATCATTTTTTTTTCTTTTTTCTTTTTTCTTTTTCTTTTTTTTTTTTTTTTTCTCTGAGACAGGGTTTCTCTCTGTAACTTTGGAGCCTGTCCTGGCACTCTCTCTGTAGACTAGGCTGGCTTCAAACTCACAGAAATCTGCCTGTCTCAGTCTCCCAAGTGCTTGTATTAAAGTACCCGGCCAGAATCATTTTTATGATGGCTGCGATGTTAACATGTATTGGTTGTGTTTTTTTCATTTAGGCTGGGGTTTTACTTATGCCTAGCGTGAGTGATTTTTGAGTTGGAGTGTAGATATTTTTGGTTGGGTGTAGCCTCGGGTTCTTATTAAAATGTTTGGGGGTTTGTTTTAAACAGGTCTTTTTTTATGATGTGTAAGGAGAAGAGGCTCTGTCTCATTACCACCAGCTGGAAGTGAAAGTTCCTTCCTCCCCCTTTGATCCCTTTTGATGTTAGTCATGGGTGCTTTGTTTTTGTTGTTGCTCTTTAGGATATCCGGATCCCTGGTAGGCCCTCCTGATACCCACAGGGTGGAGAAAAGTGGTTCCTTATTTGTGAAAGCTGGAGTCACAAGAAGTTTCTTTCTTTCTTTCTTTCTTTCTTTCTTTCTTTCTTTCTTTCTTTCTTTCTTTCTTTCTTTCTTTCCTTCCTTCCTTCCTTCCTTCCTTCCTTCCTTCCTTCCTTCCTTCCTTCCTTCCTTCCTTCCTTTCTTTCTTTCTTGGTAGGTTGTATACTTGTTAGGTGGTTGATGTTTTGTGGGCTTTCATTGGCAGAGGGAGGGCTAGGATCACATTCTTTTTCATGTGGCATTTGTTTTGGGTACAGTGGTAGAAGTTGAATTAGATTGTTGACTTTTGGGAATGTTGAGGCAAATACTATTTCTCTTTCTTCCCCTGATGGAACTATTGCAAATACAATTTATCCAGTGCAGTGCTTGTTATGCTAAAAAGATAAAAAGATGGGTCAGTGAAATGAGAAAATTATTAGCATGAATTTTCTTTTTTTTAAATATATATATATATTTATTTATTTATTATGTATACAATATTCTGTCTGTGTGTATGTCTTCAGGCCAGAAGAGGGCACCAGACCTCATTACAGATGGTTGTGAGCCACCATGTGGTTGCTGGGAATTGAACTCAGAACCCTTGGAAGAGCAGGCAATGCTCTTAACCACTGAGCCATCTCTCCAGCCCCCATGAATTTTCTTGTATGAATTAAGTTTAACCACATACTAGAGCCTTCTTACAGTGTCCTATGACCACAAATATTATTTATAGTCTGCTTTTTTATTGTTTCTATAAACAGTTAATAATTATGTGTAGGATTTCTTTGTGTTTCCTCTGTCTTAGAGTATAGTCTATGAGGGATGTATGAATATATTGCTGGCTTTAATTTTTTAATTAACATTTATTCATTTTATTTTGGTATGTGTGCTTGAATAATTGTGTACCTGTGTGTGCTAGTACCCACAGAAGTGTCAGATGCCCTTGAACTGGAGTTAAGAGTTGTGAGCTGTCTTTACAAGAGTAGCAAATGCTTTTAGCCTCTGCATTCTCTCCAGCCCTTGCTGGTTGGTCTGTCTGTCTGTATTTCCCTCCCTCCCTCCCTTATTTATTTATTTATTTATTTTAGAGCTGTGTCTGTTTATTATTGTGTGTGTATCTGTGGGCATGGGTGTGACTCACAGTGGAGGTCAAAGGACAACTTTGTGGAGTCTGTTCTTTTTTACATTTACATGGGGTACATCTGGCTTGCATAGCAAGTACTTTAACTTGCTGAACCATCTCACCGGCTCCATATTGCTATCTTAAAGTGTCTTAATTTTTTTGTGATTAGTTATGATATATTCTTGAGTTTATTAATTTGTGTTTTTATTTAGGAATTGCTTATTTTTCATTTTGATATAACTTTGATAATTATAAAGTGATTTCCATGATTCTGAAACAAAATGGATGAGCAGTCTACAAGTACCTTACTTTTTCTCTCATAGAATTAGTCTAACTATAGGAGGCCTTAATCATTTTATGTGTGTTTGTTTGGAAAGGATCATTACCATTATCTGACCCTTCCCACCTTCTTCAAAGAGCCAAAAAATGTTATCAGAACAATTGCTAATGAACAGCGGCTCTTAAAAATAAAGGTGCGTGTTGTTCACACACACAAGCACTGCAGTGCCTGTGCTGAGGTCAGAGGATAGCGCTCAGTTGATTTTTTTTTTCCTTCACTCAACCGTATTGAAACTAATTTCTGCTGTTGTGCTGTTGTGTTGGGCTAGGTAGTCTGAGCTTTCAGGCAGTTCCCTCGCCTCCACTGCCTATCTTGCTATCAGGTGCTAGGATTGCAGATGCAGGTGACTGCATGCAGCTTTTACTGAGTTCCAGAGGCCAGAATCAGCTGTCAGACTTGTGTGAGTCATGCTGTTACCTGCTGAGCTGGCACCTTGGCCCTGCCAGGCTCTCAAACTTTTAAGGTTTTAACACAGTGTTTATACTCTTAAAGACCTTGGAAGAACTTTGTTACATAAGAAAATAAAGTGGGGGCTGGAGGTGGCTCAGCGGTTAAGAGCATTGCCTACTCTTCCAAAGGTCCTGAGTTCAATTCCCAGCAACCACATGGTGGCTCACAACCATCTGTAATGAGGTCTGGTGCCCTCTTCTGGCCTTCAGGCATACGCACAGACAGAATACTGTATACATAATAAATATATTTTAAAAAGAAAATAAAATGGGACCATTTTTAATTTTACTTAAATACCATATTCATTATGATAATGCAATACTATTTTTCATAAAACTCTATCTTCCAAATCCCCCAAATTGAGGAGAAGAGTGGGTATACTTTATATTACAATTTTTTTTGAGATGTCCCTATATGTAGCCCTGATTGTCTTCAAGTGAGATCTGCCTGCTTCTGCCTCCTAAGTGCTAGAATTAAAGGAGGGTACCACCATTTCCAGTTTATATTTACATTTGTCTTTAATTGTAATAAATAGTTAATAGAACAACAGCTGGATTTAAAAATATCTGTGGTAGCATCCACTATATTGTGTCATGTGCCCTCTACAAACACCACTGTAAGCTGGATGTGGTGTTTTATGTCTGTAATCCAAACATTTGTAGACTGTCACAGGAGAGCACTGAGTTTAGGCTCTGTCTGGGCTACGGATTAAGATCCTGTCTTAAAAGAAAAAAGAAAGAATGGGCTCACCAGTGACTTAGAATATTCAGGATTTCTAAAAAGTAGTTCTGACTTTTTGTTCTCTAAATAAGAAAGGGACTACAGAACTCCAAGGATCCAGCTTCTCTGCTACACATTAGCGCTGGCTTGAGTTTGAGTTGGTTGTCTGTGTATGGTGTTGTGTTTGTTGGTCTGTCTCTGAGAAGGATGGAGACCTTCTGAAAAATCAGTGTCCTCGCCAGGTGTTTATTGGGCCTTCTAAGAAGATCTCCCCACCTCAGTCCTTCTCCTGCACAGGAGCATCCCTGGGGTTTACCATCACCTTGTCCCCAGCACAGCTTTCTGAGCACACAGAGTTGTGTTGCCTTGAACTGGTCAGCCATGTCCATTGCTTTATCACTCATGCTAGCCCTTGTCTCTTGCCAACCATAGTGTAACAGTGAGTTGCATCCTTGCTTTCCCAAAACCATACTTGGTAGCTGACCTGTCACCATGTTTCTCCCTGGAGGGTGCATGATGTGGCAATCCATATTTATATTTATATGAGCCTGGCTTTGTTACTGCTCTTTTCTTTACATCTTGTTCCCATGGAGCATTCTCAAAGGAGGGCTGTTGATACAGGATCCATATCTGGTACTGATCCACCTGTATCAACTCACACCTTCCCTTCCCCTTGGTTGATCTATAGTGACGAATGCCTCTTATTCGGTATGGTGGTGGTGTGTAGGACATTGGGCAGCATTCATCTCCTGCCTGGAAAACTGGTAACTTTAAAGCTAATCTGCGTCCACAACACTAGTGGCTCTGGTACTTGTAGATAAATTTGTTCAGCTGTAAACACCCATGCATGACCTTGTCTCCTTTTTGTGTGGGTTGGTTGCAATTTGTGCTGTGGCAGTGACTAACCTGGAATGGAGGTGATGGGGAATCTTGGTTCATTTTCACAGTGGGGCCCTTGCTAAACTAACTCTCTCAAGAAGGCAGGGGCATGCATATTACTAACTCCAAGCGGGAAAGGGCAGTGAGTGCAGCCTCACTGAACTCTGCCAGAGACTGAGCTGTGAGATAGCTCTTCTGTGGGCAAGGAAGTGTGACTTTTCCATATTGGTGAAGAGACTTGTCTGGTTGCTTGGTAATCAGAGAGAGTAGTGTAGCGACCAATTAGGTTTTCCTGAATGTTTGGTGTCTCTTGGCTTGGATAAGCAGCATTTTGTCACTCAAGAATGAACAGCCAGCAAGTCTATAATGTTCGCAGGTGGCTAGAATTGGTGCACCGTAATGCTCTTCTTGTGTGAAGATTTCACCTTTAGCACAAAATATTCTTGTTTTGTTGGTCTTAAATAAAAATCATAACCAAAGGTAATTCCATTTTTCTTCTGTTATTAGATATATGTCGAGTGTGTCGGTCAGAAGGAACACCCGAGAAACCTCTTTATCATCCTTGTGTATGTACTGGCAGTATTAAATTTATTCATCAAGAATGGTAAGTCATTTGGAAAATTGTATAACTCTTAAATTCAATTTTGTCATCTCTAATAAAAGTGATAATTTCAGTGAACTTGACCTGTAATTCATTATATTTAAAACTTTTACTATAAAAATCTATAACAAAATTTATAGTTTGACTAAGCAATTACCCATAGTTAATACCAAACAATTTTGGTATATTGTGGATATGCTAATGATAGCTTATTGTTTATTTCTAGCATTGAGAACTTGTTTTGTTCGTGGAAAGAATTATGCTTTTCTGATTTCGAGTGACATAATTATAGCTTATTCACTATTCTGTGCCAAGAACTGTCTTCTGTATTTTACATATCTTAAACTCGTTTTCTGGAACATTATTATATGGATGAAGAAATGGTATACTGACAGGTTGAGTGATTTGTCCTAAGCACATATCCTTGCCAGGGGGAGAATGGAAATTCAGACCTGGTTACCAGCTGTGAGCCTTGTGAGACCAGTATCAAAACTGATGTTAAACTAATTGTTAATTCGGTATTCGTTTAGCTCTGAAGAGGTTAGAATTTTGCCTAATTAAATATTTTTATTAATATATTGTATACTGATTTGTATTATCTGTTTTTAAGTTTTATACTCTTAGAAGGCACATATAAAAAATTAAAATATTTCATATTTGAAATATTGAAAACTATAAAAGGTCTGTGATACAAAAATTTTAATAAAAGCACTAGTTTTCAATGAAACCTTAAAGTTGTTTTGTTTTTAATACTGTATTCATGAATGTATTTGTAATTACAGCTTAGTTCAATGGTTGAAACACAGTCGAAAAGAATACTGTGAATTATGCAAGCACAGATTTGCTTTCACACCAAGTAAGTTTGTTTGACATTTTCACCACAGTTTTCTTTTGTTATTTCTGGCAACAAAAGGTGTTTAAAGAATTTGAAAGCAATAATCTTCAACTTCATTGTCTTTAGTAGTAATAGAAAAAAAACTATTGCACTTAGAAGGATATTTTAAAAATAGTCATCTTTTAGTTTAATATACTCATGCTTGTTTTGTATGCTGTTTTCTTTTTTCTTTGTGTTTTTGCTTAGTTACAGACAAGTGTAAACATACACAGAGGTATTGTGAGTGCTTGTAAAAACCCATCACTTAGTTCTATTATTTTTCTTTCTTTTTTCTTTTTTTGCTTTTTCAAGATAGGATTTCTTAGTAGCTACGCAGTGTGTCCTGGAACTCATTCCATAGACCAGGCTGGCCTCGAACACACCTCGAACATTCGCGCATCTCTGCCTCCCAAGAGCTGGGATTAAAGGCGTGCGCTGCCACCGCCTGGCAATTGTACTTATTTTTCAACTCACATGGCCTATCTCTTTTTATCTGTGCTCTCCTTTCTTATTATAGTCTTTACTTTTTTTTAGGCTGTCCTTTTTAAAAGAAATCGTATGAGTTTTAATTTCATCTATACATTCTCAGTATGTGTCAACATTTCTTCCTGTTAAGAAGCATTATTATCTCTGCAGAAACAGTGATGCTTTGAGTTCATCAGAGTCTAATGCCATTCAGCTTGAACTCCTCTGATTTGGAGCTGTGAGAATAAACACAGTGGTGAAGAGCGAGTCTTAGAGCAGTTTTTTCTTTCTGAAACCAACTCTTTAAAATATCTATGTATGTGTGCTTGACTGTGCGGGTGCACGTGTGTGTTTGTGTGGGGGTGCATGCATGTGTATGTGATTGCACTACATGCCAGGCTCGAACTCCTGGAGGATTAAAGGCATGTGGCATTATGGCTGGCTGGCATGTCCTTGATTTTTTTTTTTCCCCTCTATTTTATATATTGTTATTTAAGTCCTGAACTCCTCACCTCAACAAGTCTAGCCAGCTAGATCTCCTGTCCCCACCTTTTTTTTTTAAATATTTATTTATTTATTTATTTATTTATTTATTTATTTATTTATTTATTATGTATACAATATTCTGTCTGAGTGTGTATGTCTACAGGCCAGAAGAGGGCACCAGACCTCATTCCAGATGGTTGTGAGCCACCATGTGGTTGCCGGGAATTGAACTCAGGACTTTGGAAGAGCAAGCAATGCTCTTAACCACTGAGCCATTTCTCCAGCCCCTGTCCCCACCTTTTGAGCACTGGATACAGGCAGACCAAGGCTTCCGTGCCCACCCAGCATGCATACTATGGATGTTGGAGATCTAACGCTGTCTTTATGCTTGCAAGCTATTTCCCCAGCCTTGGGAAACTAACTTTTAAGCTCATGTGTTGTAAGGGTTCAATAACTATTTTTCAGATGTCTAAAATTTTAGTTGCAATACTTGTGTCTATTGATTAATAACGTTATATTAAATAAACAGCACTGTATTGGCAAATTACAGTTTTTCATGCTGGCTGGAATCCTTGTACATTGTACCTGATTTTTTGTATTTATAAGACTCTTGTGTTTCTCAGCACAAATACTGTAACTTAATCATTAGTTTTACTTGATATCTGACAAGCGTGGATAATTAAAGTTACTGTGTTTTCTTTATTCATTGCCAGCAAAAATGCCACTTGTATTTGTTCATAGTCCTTATTTTCTCTGGTGTATAATCTTATTACTAATTGAGAAGATTTATAGCAAAGTAAGACTGCATGATTAAATTCTTTATGAAGTTTGACTGGTAGAAAATATCCTGTGGACTTTTACTTTGAGACCAATAAAAACTCCCTTTGTTTGCATATACTCTTCTGACATTTGTGGGCTGTTTTCTGTAGTCCTTCCCCAGGAAACTCTGCTTTTCTTCACACCAAGTAAACTGTTGGCTGGGGGATTTGCGGCATGGACAGATTTGCCGCTTAAGTCTTACTCCTTATGTTTGTAGATGAATAGTTTTGTGACACTGCTTTTGAGTGTTTTGTTTGTATTATCCTTTGACTGCTTAGGATTAAACCTAAGCAAGTACTTTCTGTCTGAGATACACCCCAGCCTTGTCTTTTTGGTTAGTCTAGTTTTAGTTATTTTTCCCTTCCCCGAGCTCTGTTTTATAAATTTTAGACCATTGGTTTTATTTTTTTTAATATTTATTTATTATATGTACAATATTCCATCTGTGTGTATGCCTGCAGGCCAGAAGAGGGCACCAGACCCCATTACAGATGGTTGTGAGCCACCATGTGGTTGCTGGGAATCGAACTCAGGACCTTTGGAAGAGCAGACAATGCTCTTAACCACTGAGCCATCTCTCCAGCCCCCAGACCACTGGTTTTATATAACAATTTCTGTTTTTGCCCCATTGGAGAAAAGAGGTGTTTGAAAGACAATGTGTATTATCTGGAGTAGAGAGTTTTAGTAAATAACAGTTTTTACTGAAACAGTTGTAAAGATATTTTCTAAAATGTGGGTCTATTCTCGAATGAATTACATTTCGCAAAGATGTCTGAATTTATTGTTTGAAAGTTAAAGTAAGATGTTAAAATTGGAGGAGGGTTGGCTGACACCTCATGAAATGACTGTCCCAGGCTTGTCGGGATGTTGTGTCTAAGCCCGCATTGGTGTGTGTGTGTGTGTGTGTGTGTGTGTGGGGTGTTTCTAAGATAACATACTTCAGATTGCTTTTGCACTTCTTACCTTTTCTTGATCCTTTATAGTTCGAGAAGCCAGATCGTTGTATGGCTTACATGTTACATATGTGTAAACTGACTCTGCTTGAAATTTAAGGCTGTGTGAGCAGGGGAGGTTAGATTTCTTCCTCCTGCTGCTTTTTCTCTGCTCAGTGGCCTTTTTTTGTTCATTTCCATACTTTAGTTGTGATTTGTATAAATAGATGTCTTGTATAAATGTAATATTATTATAATGATTTGATTTTTCAGTGCCTTATAGAAAAACACTTAAGTGCAGTATCTCTACTTTGTATTTATGAGTTAAATCATTTAAAGTTCTCATGAAATCCTGCATATTTTTTTCCTGTTACAGTTTATTCTCCAGATATGCCATCACGGCTACCAATCCAAGACATATTTGCTGGACTGGTTACAAGTATCGGCACTGCAATACGATACTGGTTTCATTATACACTTGTGGCCTTTGCATGGTTGGGAGTTGTTCCTCTTACAGCATGTGAGTAGTCATAACTCTTCTGGAGGTATTTAAACATTCTATAACTGTTTGCTATTTTAATTATGTTTCCTGATACCGTGAATGATGTTTAATTATTTACTTGATTTATATTAAATATTTGGAAGACCTTGTTTAGGAAACGTCCTCACTGAGTTGTTTCTGGAGGAGGGAAGGGTGTTTTTCTTAAAGACATAGAGCAGTATTGATAATCCATGAGTGGCAGAGTATATAGATAGGATTCTGTGGACTTTAGAACAAGCAAGGGTTTTAATACATGTAATTTACATCCTCTTCTCTCCGTAACTAAAGCTAGCTTGACTGCCTATGGCGATGAAAACCATAGGCACTGATGGAGAGTGACTTAGTGAGCTACATGGAGCCCATGAGCTCCCCTGCTATATAACTCAGAGAGACAGAGTAGTTCTAGTGTGAGACAAATGAGGAGATATGGGAGCTGGAGCTGGCATTTTTAGCAACTGCGTAGCTTGTTGTTCTACAAAGTAAGATTATTGGAGATGAGGAGATGCTCATCTCTGCTAGCAAGGAGACCGCAAGCCTAAATAGTCTCAAGTTTTCCAGAACCATGTAGGGTGGTGATGGTGGTAAGTGTATGGTGATATTATACTCCCAGATTGTCCTACAAAGTGGAGAAAATCAGATATAAAATCAGCTCGTTGAATGCTAGAAGACAGTGTCAAGTTCCAAATATGACAGTTTAAGTTCCTCAACCCCCCAAATATACTCAGTTGGAAGAACAGAATACAGACACTTCCTTAGACTTGTGTTCAGAATGTGTGCCACCTTAAACTTTTAAGTAATGCACACCTTAATTCTGTCACTCTGGAGGCTGAAGCAGGAGGATCCCCCGTGGGAGGCCAGGTTGGTCTACAAGAAGCATAGGAAATGAAACAGAATAAAAATTTTCAGTTAAAGTGGAAGACAGCATGCCTTTCTAAAAATCAGTAGACCGTACAGTTGAGCACAAGTTCATGAACGTTTGAATTCATTTTAACAAGCTTGGTTTCTGTCCTGACTTTGCATATACACATGTGCATCATATTATAATATATCCTCTTACAGCCTCTTCTTTTTTTAAATTTTATTTAATGTATGAGTGCTTTATTTGCATGCACGACTTTATGCCAGAAGAGGGCATCAGATTCCACTTAGATGGCTATGAGCCACCATGTGATTGCTGCTAATTGAACTGAGAACCTCTTAATCGCTAGCCATTTCTCCAGCCTCCATACTCTTCTTTATGATTCTGTTCCCCATCCCTCTTTCCTAGTACATGTCAGAGGTTTAAGGAGTCTTAATGCTGCTCAGCCCATTTACCTACTGACTGATGGTTTTTGAGTTTTACTTACTGTAAGCTTGCTTGTTTCCTTTTATATAGGTACCTAAGTAATTTCCATTATGGATACTCCTTACTATTCTGCCCTTTTGACTTGACCTGTAAAAGAAGCCATTGAACTCATGAAAATATCTGATGTAAGGCTAAGGGCAGTGCTTAAACTAATGTGCCAGAAGTGTTCTGAAGGAAAACCTCAGTGTCTTCTTAGTCTTTGAAAAGCTGTAGTCTTGTTAGCACATTCGCTCTAGAATTCTGCCTCTCTCACTAAAAACCATTCTATCTTTTCTGAATAAGAGGGCAAGGGATGGCCGTGAATTCTTATATCCTTGTGTTTACCCTCCATGTTTATAATTTAAGATATTCTTTGAGACCTTTTGAAACTGTCTTTCTGTATGTATGTGTGTATGTATACATGTATTTTTAAAGTCTTTTAAAAGCAATTTTCTATGTGTGTGTTTTTGTACCATGGTGTGTGTAAAGGTCAGAACAACTTGGTGGAATGCTTGTCTCCCCAGATTTATATGGGTTCCCAGAGTTGAACAGAGGTTGCTCCCTCTTTACTGGTATATAGAGTGTGAAAACCAACTCCAAAAAGTTGTCTTCTGACCTCCACACACACCATGGTATGTGGGTGCTCATACTCAGACAATCATACACACACACATGCACACACGTACACATGAAAATAAAAAACTAAACCCAATATGACTCAGGCATATGAAGAATAAGAAGCTTATTTTTTTTGGTGTCAGTAATGTTCCACTTTACCTCTGCTTCCTCGAGCCGCGCACTTGTGTGAGTGTGGGATGCTAGTTGTGACTATGCCTTTGTGCCTTTGTTTGCAGGCCGCATCTACAAGTGCTTGTTTACTGGCTCCGTGAGCTCACTACTGACACTGCCGCTAGACATGCTGTCAACGTGAGTATTGGCTCTGAGAGTGAAGTTTGGGCAATGTAATGTTTTCCTCTTGTATTTATTCTGTTTTGTTTGTTTTATTTTTTTTGAGACAGGGTTTCTTTGTGGTATAATAGCCCTGACTGTCCTAGAACTTACTCTTTAGAACTATCTGGCCTCGAACCCACCGAGATCCACTTGTCTCTGCCTCCCAAGCGCTAGGATTAAAGGCGTGTGTCACCACACCTAACCTATGTATTCTTATTACTTGAAAATTCACCTAAGAAGAGCAATTCATTTTTTTTCTTTTCTAACAGTTGTAGCTACAGTAGAAATTGGTATGTGTAAGTTCTGTTTCTTGAAAACAGAAGAATTTAAGGAAACTTTTTGTAATATTGGTAGGACATATAAGAAGACATTGTATGCAGTTTGAATTACATGCTGCTGAATTTGTGTGCTGCTAGAACTTGTTTGCTGTAGCTTTTCTCTTCCCGTGACATTAGCAGCTTGCTGGGCCTTGTGTTGGCATGTCTATTGACTAGCTTATGGGCTGCTTCCCTCGAAGGTCAGACTACTCACAGAAGAAGGCTAGGGCGGAAGGAGAGTTCTACATATTCTCTATAGGTTGCAACTTGTTCCTGACAAAATTTTGCTGATGTCCCCATGTGTGTAGTTGAGTTGGGTCATCTCTAGACAAACCATCTCATTTATACAAATGTAGAAAAATCATGGTATCAGACAGCTGCCATTTTGCTTACCATAATTCTGGAGGTCGAACTTTGTGTGGGCTTAGTAGGGCTTAGTTGGGAAGGTCATCTCTGATCTTTCCTGAGTCACACGTGTCTTTCCTGGAGCTGGATAGGTCTGTCTGACGTGGCATACTTATTCACATGGCCTTTCCTCTTCAGAAAGCTAATGGACGCTTCTCCCAAGAGGGACTTGGGCAGCGTTCTGAAACTGTAATAGCGGGAGCCCATAAGCCCTTTTCTAGGCTCTAGAACGTGGGCATCTTCACCTCAGCTCTAGGCAGGCATGAAGCTCCTTCAGAACGAAAGCATTGAGAAAAGGGCTCTGAAGTTTGACTCCATTTAAAACTACAAAAAGCGGTCAGTTTGGCAAGGAAGAAATGAAGAAGGATTATTTTCAGCCCCACCTCATCCTTATTTTGATGGTATAGAAGTCCTTTAGTAAGGTTTGGAGATACTGCAGAGAGAGAAAGAGAGCTATTATTGTGTGGGGCTGCTAAGCTGAGGTCTCTCAGACTCACCTTTCCTTCTCTTCACCAGGGACAAAAAAAGTAGTCAACTTTCTTTTTTAAAGTTTTTCGAGACAGGGTTTCTCTGTGGTTTTGGAGCCTGTCCTGGAACTAGCTCTTGTAGACCAGGCTGGCCTCGAACTCACAGAGATCTGCCTGCCTCTGCCTCCCTAGTGCTGGGATTAAAGGCGTGTGCCACCACCGCCCGGCTAGTAGTCAACTTTCTAACATCTGTTAGTATTTTTGAGTTATTCTCAAATTATTCTGAAATCACAGACGTTGATAGTGAATGATAAAATTCTTCAGAAAAGAAGGAACAAACGGTCCCAAGTGTTACAAATCTCACATTTCCATGTTTGGTTACTAAAAAACCACACTCTGCCTCTTTGGATTTATTTTGGTATTTTTGCAGCTAGCATTAAAACTAGGTTTGTCATGTAGTGTGATCTGGTCCACGGTGTACTGAGTATCTTTCAGTCCTTTTCTTTTTTTCGAGACAAGTTTTCTCTGTGTATCTTTGACTGCCCTGGAACTCACAGAGATCCACCTGCCCCTGCCTCCTGAGTGCTGGGATAAAAGGTGTGCACTACCACACCTGGCTCAGCCTTCTTTTCTTTACATTGCCATATTTCCAGTCACTGAGTGAGCTTCCCTCCTCTTTTTTATTGAATGTTTTCATTTATGTACTTCTATGTTAGTCACCCCTGTCAGTTAAGTATTAAAATTCTGGTAAAAGGATTGAGCAGAAGCAGAATTGTTCACCTAATTTAGTAAATTATATAAATGCAATTTGTTGAGTGTTTTGCTGGATTTTTTTGGCTACGCTAAAAGGATAGGCTGTATAGTTAATAACTGTATATTCTGATGTTATTTTATATCTACTTAATGTAAGTATAGAGTAACAAAAGTATATAAATGAACATATTAGCTAGATTACAAGATAAAATTTCAATATCATTATGAATAGTCCTTGGGGCTGGAGAGATGGCTCAGTGGTTAAGAGCATTGCCTGCTCTTCCAAAGGTCCTGAGTTCAATTCCCAGCAACCACATGGTGGCTCACAACCATCTGTAATGAGGTCTGGTGCCCTTTTCTGGCCTTCAGGCATACACGCAGAAAGAATATTGTATACATAATAAGTAAATAAGTTTAAAAAAAAAAAGAATAGTCCTTGAGAAGCAACTGAATTTTACTGAAAAATTAAGATTTTTCTGGTTGTTTTTACAAGTGTTCTTTGGAGTGAATTGTGTCTATTTTTTTTAATAGGGAAAATTTGTTGGCGGATTGCTTGCAGGGATGTTTTGTGGTGACATGCACACTTTGTGCATTCATCAGCCTGGTGTGGTTACGAGAGCAGATAGTCCATGGGGGCGCACCAATTTGGCTGGAGCATGCTGCTCCACCCTTCAATGCTGCTGGACACCACCAAAATGAGGTAAGCCCTTCACCTGAAATACATCTTACTTGGGCAGCATCTGAAAGTCATTCCACCCTCTATGAGTCAAACCCTTGACTTCCCTGTGCCTCACAACTGTGCTCATGCCACAGAAGAAGACAGTAGGAACGTGTTGTAGGAGGGCCGCTTGTTCATTCCCAGCGCCCAGAACCAAAATAATCATTCAGAAACTATATTTATTAAATCACTGCTTGGCCAATCACTTAAGCATATTGCTAGCTAGCTAGCTCTTACATCTAGGATTAACCCATTTCTACTATTTTATATTTTACCATGAAGCTGTGTCTTTCTCCTCTGGTGGCTCTATGGTGGCTCACTGACTCCGCCTTCTTCCTACCAGCATTCAGTTGTCTTCCATGCCTAGCTCTATTCTACCCCTATCACAGGCCAGAGCAGTTTTTTTATTCATTAACCAATAAAAGCAACACATATACAGAAGGACTTCCCACACCAAGTTTGGGAGTTTAGGAGGGCTGTGGAAGTAAAAGAATGTTTCTCTGATTGCCTCTTAATGTTCTTGCTAGATTGGGCACAGTGCTAGAGAGAATACTAAAACACTCTTCCATTCTTTTTGCTTGGGTCAGCAGCTTAGCTTGGGCCTGGAAGGTAAGAATCTTCCTGTATATAACTGAGTAGTGGCTACACCTGTAATCTAGCACAGGAGGCAGATGGAGCTTGGTGGGTTCCAAGATAGCTAGGGCTACATAGGAGAGAGGCCCTGTCTCTAAACACAAAGGCATGCACACGTGCATGAAATACAACTTCTTAGATCAGTTTCTGACATACTGCACGACACTGAGGAGTGTTCTACACCTATCCCAGCTTTTTATGTGAAGCATCTTATCTTTTCTGCTATGTAGGAAGAATTTTATCAAAAGTAGGAAACTTGGCCAGTCACATGGCACAGTAGGAAGACGTGCTTACCACCCACACCTGATTACTTTGGGGTTCCCAGAAGCCACAGTGCACAGAGAAAAGTTGTCCCGTCACTTCCATACATGCTCTGTGGCATGTGCAGATGTGTATATGTGGACATGTGCGCACACAAAATTAAACTTGAAGAAAAGAACTGTGTGCAGTTTTCTTATGAGTGACAATGACATGCTCACATACAAGGGTATTTGGCAGTCTGTTAATTGGAGGGCACAGCAAGAGGTTTTTAGTATCTTGCCTGGTGGGAAATTGTAGGGCCAAGAATGTCACACAGTTAACTGCTCTGTGAAGTGAAAGGTTGACACTTCATATCCTTTTTTAGTGAAATAGTTGGTCACAAACTATTCGTTAGTAACTAATCTTTGTTCCTATGATATGTTTTTTAATATGTAGATTGAGTTTATCAAGCCTATAACCCTATTTACTATAGAGTACACCTTTTCCTTGGAAAATTATACGTAGATGAAGGCAGCATCACAAGCCCTCTGTTCTGGGGATAGAACCCAGGGCCTTGAACATACTGGGCAAGCATTCTGGTCTCAAACTCACATTTCCCTCCTTCCCCAGGGTAGTGGGTACCATCATGCCCATGAGGTGGTGCTGTGAGAGAAGGTTAGAGTCAGCACTGCTGCCAGTCTGCCTCATATTTTGAAGCATTTAATGTAGTTTTGCTTTAGAATTTTCATTAAATCCAAGGGAATTGTTTTTTAAATAATTTATTTAAATTTATTTTATGTGTATTGATGTGAAGGTATAAGATTCTCTGGAACTGGAGTTACAGACAGTTGTGAGCTGCTATGTGGGTGCTAGGAATTAAATCCCAGGTCCTTTGGAAGAATAGCCAGTGTTCTTACAAGCCAACTCTCCAGCTCCAGGAATTGTGTTTTAACTTAAGAATTAAATATAATTAATGTCTTTGCATTTGGTTGGTAACAGAATTTTGATTTTTTTTTTTTAATTTTCTGAAATTGAGTCCAAGGCTTCACATAGGCTAGGTAACTACCCTCCCATTGAGCCACATCGTCAAACCTATTTACTTACTTACTTACTTACTTATTTATTTATTTATTTATTTATTTTGAGACAAGAATCTGACCAAGTCCAACAGCAGGCCTCAAGCTTAATGATTCTCCTGCTTCAAATTCACCCTTTCCTTACAGCTGCTGGAACTACCACTCTGGACCACCATGTTTGGCTTGGTGTCCCAGAAGAAATGCCAGAAGAAAATGCATTTAGGAATTGATAAGGCCATATATGGAAAATCCTTGTCTTCAGCTCAAAATCAGTTACTCAAGTGTTAATAGCAGCAAATTAAGGTGTATATGTGTGTATACATATACATACATTTATTTAAGAATGTGTTTTCATGGGCTGGGGAGATGGTTCAGTGGTTAAGAGCATTGCCTGCTCTTCCAAAGGTCCTGAGTTCAATTCCCAGTAACCACACGGTGGTTCACAACCATCTGTAATGGAGTCTGGTGCCCTCTTCTGGCCTGCAGGCATACACACAGACAGAATATTGTATACATAACAAATAAATACTTTTTAAAAATGTGTTTTCATCCCTAAGGAAGTTAGACACATTAGTCATATTTATAAAAGATTATGGATGATGTGTTTAAGATAGCCAGATTTATAAGCCCATTTTTTATAATGCTTTTTTTCTTACGTGTGTGTGTGTACCCATGTTTACAAGTATGTGCTCATGTGTACAAGTGTATTTGTGCATGTGTCCTTGTTGTGCATGTGAAGGTCAGAAGACAATCTTCGGTGTAAGTTCTTGTCCTCTACCTTATTGGAGATAGACAGGGTCTTAGATTCTCTGCTAGCTGGTCCATGAACTTCCTTCCATGTTGGAGCACAGGATTGCAGATGCTCAGCTGTGCCCAGGTTTACATGAGTTCTGGGAATCCAGTCAGGTTCTCACATTGATGTGGCAAGTGCCTTGTCCACAGAAGCCACCTCCCCAGCCCTGTAGTGCTTTCTGAAGTGTGTCCTCTGAAAAGTGAGTTCACATTCTTAGGTACCAAGTTGGTCCTAAATGAGATACATTTTAAAGAGATGACTCTGAAAGGTACTTCTTTTTTAAACTTTAGTGGGGTTGTCTTGTTTACTGTTTTTTTCTTGCAGGGTAAAGTATGATTTGGAACTAGAGTAAAACTGAGCCAAGTAGGTGAATTCCTGGACTTTTCTTTCATTTTAGGCTCCTGTAGGAGGAAATGGTGCTGAAAATGCTGCTGCTGATCAGCCAGCTAACCCAGCAGGAGAGAATGCGGTGCTGGGTGAGAACCCTGATGCCCAGGATGGTCAAGCAGAAGAGGAAGAGGAGGACAATGAGGAGGAAGATGATGCGGGTGTGGAAGATGCTGCTGATGCCAACAATGGAGCCCAAGGTAGTGGCTGCTCCATGCCCTCACTCACTCTTGAGGACTCCCTCATTCTTAACTTGCACTGAAGACAGAGAGAGTGGTGTTTCATGTCTTATGATGGGCCAAAGCTGTTATGACCGGTTTCTGTTTGACAAGCTAGCAGTTACAGGTAGACATGTACATAAGTGTGCTTTCTGTGAAACAGAACATTTTGTGTATTACAGCCCTTTACACAGGACCTCTCTCCTCTCTCCCTTCTTTCCTCCCTCTCCATCTTTCCCTTTCTTTCTCTCTCTCCCTCTCTCTGTCCACTAGATGGATGGGGAAAAAATAGTCTCAGGTCACCAGGTCTATGTTTTTTTTTTTTTAAATATTTATTTTTTTATTTATTATGTATACAATGTTCTGTCTGTGTGTATCCCTGCAGGCCAGGAGAGGGCACCAGACCTCATTACAGATGGTTGTGAGCCACCATGTGGTTGCTGGGAATTGAACTCAGGACCTTTGGAAGAGCAGGCAATGCTCTTAACCGCTGAGCCATCTCTCCAGCCCCAGGTCTATGTTTTGAAGAAGGAACTTGGTCTAGAATTTCCTGGGGTATTTGTTTGTTGTGTGTGTCTGTGTGTGTTTTCTTCTGCCTCCATGGGGGTCACTGCACTTTTCAAATGAAGAAAACCCTGAAGTGTATACTGCAGGCCAGCTGCCACCTTTGGAAATCATCTTTGCATTTTCTGTCAGTGGGAACTTTGGAATGTGCAATGAGACCCAGATCTGTGTTCCATTGTTAGCTCGTTGCCTGTCTTCTTGTGTTTTCATTGAGTCCACCTTGCTTATGTCTGTGTCCATTGTAACAGACACTTGAGACAAAGTATCCAGTTGTGAACAAAATGCCTGCCTGCATTCTGGGAGGTTTTGGGCTAGAGAAGAGGTAGATGTGTTAAGTGTATATGAGTTGCTCTAAAGATATGTGTCTTAAATAAGGTTTCCCAGGAAGTTCAGAGTAAGGGACTTTTGGCCTGAGAACTGAAAGATAAGAAGAAACAAAATTCATAATGGGAGCAGTTGACTTTCCAAGGGAAAGATCCTAGGCTCTGAGACAACCTCTTTCGGTACTGCTGCCCAAGTGCTTGGCTGTCACCTGCCTGATTTAATCCCTGGCTGCTTTGCATACTGCTGCTACTGCTGCTGCTTCTCCTTCTCCGCTTCCTCCCCTCCTCTTTTCTTCCTCCTCCTCCTCCTCCTCCTCCTCCTCCTCCTCCTCCTCCTCCTCCTTCTCCTTCTCTCTCTCTCTCCCCCCCCCCCCCCTTTTCTTTTCTTTTTGAGACAGGAGCTCACTGTGTAGTCCAGGCTGGCCCAGAACTTGCAGATCGTCTGCTTCAGCCTCCCAAGTGGTAGGATTGCAGGCTTTGTACCATCTGATTTAGCTCTTACATTTTAAATTTATATATTTATTTCCAATTATGTGTCTACATGTATGTCTGTGTGGGTTTGTGTTTGTGTGTTTTGTGCCCATGGAGGCCAGAAGAGGGTGATCCCCTAGAACTGGAGTTCCAGGGAGTTGCGAGCCACCTGACATGAGTAGTACCAGGAAGTAAATCGGGTCTGTTAGAACAGTCTGAATTCTTAATCACCGACAGGCCTGAGTTTTGTACTTTATCTTCTGCTAATTTGCTAATTCATTAGAAAGTTATCCCTTGACATCCTTCTTTTTCCTTAAATCTACCAGATTCATTTCTAACCCACAGCATTTAGATTTGTCTTTCATATAATCCTATTTATTAATTTTCTACCACAGTCTAGGGATTGTCTTATTTTATGTTACTATTTATAAGTTTGTATTTATTTGTAGAACTTATAGCCTAGTAAGTAAATTATGTTTGATAAAATTTTAAACCAATTGTAATTAAAAGTGGCTTTTGTATCTGTCAGTAATCTTGGCTTTGCATTGCATTTCCAGATGACATGAACTGGAATGCTCTGGAGTGGGACCGGGCTGCAGAAGAGCTTACTTGGGAAAGAGTGAGAACTTTCTCTGTCACATGTCCTTGTGTTGTAATCCTAAGGTGTATTTTGAAGTTTGGCATATTTAGCTATAAACACAAATTTCATAGTTAAATTTGATGAAAACAGGTTAACCAGGATTTAATTTTTACAAAAACCAAGTGATTCACAGCTGGGATGAAGACAGTGGCAGTGAAGTCTGTTTTCTGCCTTGAGTACAGGCCTTGCTCTACAGGGCCACTTTGACCTTAAATTGTGGAGTTGGTGAAAATTCAGTAAAATGAAATAGGAAAATAAAATTAATTCTATAATGAAGTTATGGCTGGTTCTCCCTAATGTAAGAAACTCAGAATGGGTGTTTTTTCTTTTTGTAGTGTTAGACATAAACCCATGGCCTTGGAGATGCTAGGCAAGCACTCTGTCATTGGGCTTTACCTACCAGCTCTTTGACACAGGTTCAGGCTCTGTCTCAATAGCTGCCTTAGCTTCCCTAGTGTTAGGAACACAGAAATACCTCTGTCTGCTCAGGATAGAAATTTCTAGAGGATATTTGCTATATGACCTAGGGTAAAAGGGGCCCAAAGTGTAATACTCAAATACACAGGGATTTTGTTTTGTTTTTAACCTATGACTGGTAGGTTTAGAAAACGGTTTAGTGACCCTGATAGGAAAGCAGTCTTCCTGTAAGAAAAGAAGGTCCTACTGCATCTTAAATTGATGCTCATTATCTTTTATTCTAGATGCTTGGACTTGATGGATCACTAGTTTTTCTGGTAAGTGGAAGTATTGCTTTGATAGAATTAGGAGTCGTTTTTGTTATCCATTGACTCTTAAATTCTTGGAGTATGCTTTTTAAGCTAAATGTCAAAACAGCCCTTTAGCTTTTGATTATTTGATATTTGAAAGCATATTTTGTATGTTGACAATACTAGAAATATTTAAATATTTAAAATGTCATTTAAAAACAAATTTGCTAAATATTTGAAAAAAATTCCAGAGTTAATAGCAGTTAAAGGAACTTGATGTTTGAAGTTGGGTCTTATATGTTTAATACCTGTACCATTGAGAACAAAAAGCAGCCTTGTTTGTTCCACAGGTGAGAGGCACAGTCTTATCTGGAAGTCTGCCGTAGGAGTAGAGCTTACGTTTTCTTGTTTTATTTTATGCTTTTTAATTTTTAGTTTCTTTATTTACTAGTGTATGTGAAGGCCAGAGTCTTTCATGTGTTATCTCCTTCCACTGTGAGAGCTGAGGTCAAACTCAGGTCATCAGGTTTCCAGCAAGCACTATACCCCAAAAGGCCACAAATCCCCCCCCCCCCCCCGTCCCTCCCCCATTTTTTGAGACAGGGTTTCTCTGTGTAGCTCCGGAGCCTGTCCTGGAACTCGCACTGTAGACCATGAACTTACAGGTATCTGCCTGTTTCTACCTCCCAAGTGCTGGGCTTAAAGTACTGCACTGCGTGGTGCAAAAGCAACAACTTAAAAGTAGATGGCTGGAGCTGGAGATAAGGCTCATCAATTGAGAACATGCACTGTTCTTTCCGAGGACCCGATTGGGGTCTTAGCTCCAGTGTCCATTAACTTCCTTTAACTCCAGCTCTAGAGGATCCGATACTAACAGTTTGCGGCTCTGTAGTACCTGTACTAACATGCACCTACTCCTATACAGACACAGACATACACACTACAGGATAATAGAGGCATGTCTTTAAAGGAGGGGTAGTTCTTTCCAGAAGTTTATTCTTTGAAGAAAACATGGTGTGTTTAGGTCACGTAAGGCACAGTTGTTTGTTATTTGGGGTTAGGGCTTGTGTGCAGCAGCAGAACCATCACAGGTGGAGACATGGTGATAACAGGAAGCCCAGAGGAAACATAGACTTGAGGGTTGCATGATCCAGTGGCCCAGCAATGTTATAAAAACCCAGATAATATCTGTCTATTGCTATTTACTCAGGTAACATCCTTTGCCTCATTGGTATTTCATAAGAATGGCAGAAGTTGTTGAGGTCAAATAGGAAAGTCATTTGCAGCCTGACTTCATTCCTTATACAGTTTCAGGGGAATCAGGTAGAGGTGAATGAAATAGGATTCTGCTTTCAACAAAGTTTTAAAGTTGATCAAGTTATCAAAATGTTCAGGGTATAGTGGTGTGAGCCTGTAGTCCCAGCACTTGGGAGATAGAAGCAAGCAGATCTCTTGATCTGAGTTCAAAGCAAGTCTGGTCCACAGTGCGAGTTCCAGGACAGCCAGTACATTGAAAATCCCTGTCTCGAAAATAAAAAGAAAAAAAAAAGATCAGTGTTATTTTCATATTAGCTATGACTAAGTGAAATTGTTCAGTTGAGCATGAGATATCATTCATTGATCTTACTAATGCTTTCTCCTGTAGGAGCACGTGTTCTGGGTGGTGTCTTTAAACACATTGTTCATTCTTGTCTTTGGTAAGTTGTGCCTATGCATTTAGTGTTTGTGGTATCATTATAGAAGTTTATCAATAATCCATCATATTTGTAATCTTTAAGTTGTTCACTTAAATGCCATTTTATAGTTGGTTTGTTGAATAAAATCCCAAATAATATGCACACATTACTGGGGAGCTGGAATACTCCTTTCGCTTCCTGCTTCCCTCTGCTGCGACATTGTGTATTGTGCACCTGTGATGACTTTTTGATGTTCCCAACCCTCATCCTTGCCTACCATGTTTTCTAAACTGGAAGTCAAATCAGTTTTCTAAACTGATCAGGTCAGGCTCAGTCATCTTTGACAAGGCTATTGGGCACATATTTTGACTTAGAGTGTGAGATAGGAAGAGGTATGTGACTTTATCCATTTCTGCCCCCTGGATTTTTTCATTTTCTGTTCACATCAAGAAAGAAATCTGTGGGATGATGCTTTAGTGTCACGGGGCTAGTGGGTCCTTGTCCTCTCACCCAGTGACTACACCAGCCCTCTGCAGGGGTTGCAAAAATGCCACCTGGTTCAAATCCTGGCATTTTCAAGATCTTTCTTGTCTAGCTTTTCTATAAAGAAGAGTTCATTTTCATCAGTGTGAAGTTGTTTCCCAGGAGATGCCAGGCAGGTGTCCTCTGAGTAGTTAGTGCAGAGGAAGGAGCTTGTGCACGAGTCCCTTCCCAGACATGAATTGTTTTTTTTTTTTTTTTTTTCATGTTGCTGCCTTTTTCCTTTGTCTTTGGTATTTGGAGCTTTGAATATTAAGAAGAGCTCACAGGTTTGGTTTCTATTGTTCTCATCAATTTTGGTCATTTGGGTGGTTGTTTTAGTTTTTAATGCTCATTTCAGCCCTTTTAAAATGCCAGTGACACCCTCTTCAGAGTGGTTTTGTGTCTTTATGATAGGGTCCTATTAGACCTTGTTGTTTTATTGTGCAGGTATAGTTTTTAGTTTTTCCTCTGAGAATTTTCTATTCTCAAAGAAGTCCCTGGTTCTTTTAGTGAAGATTATGTTAAGAGTGCTCATTGTTTTATTGATAAGTTTTCTCCTCCCTTTTAGCATTTTGTCCTTACCACATCGGTCATTTCTCCCTTGTTGGTTTGGGATTTGAGGAACATGTAAGTATAATATTTTCAGAATTTTACTTCTACTAATTATCCCCAAGTTTGTTATTTTCTAAAGAATATTTTGTTTGTTTTTGTTTTTTTGAGATAGGGTTTCTCTGGGTAGCCCTGGCTGTCTTAGAACTCACTTTGTAGACCAGGCTGGCCTCAACTCAGAGATCTGCCTGCTTCTGCCTCCCAAGTGCTGGGATTAAAGGTGTGCATCACCACTACCCAGCTGGGAATATTTTATGTGTATACATGCTTTGCTGGCATGTATGTACATCATATGTTTTGTGCGATATTTTGATTGTGTTCTGACAAAGCTTGCTTGGAGTTGGAGGAGTTAGCCACTAGTCGACCAGAATTGACCACAGAGGTTTTGGAAGACTGAGGACAGATAGGAGAGGAAGTAGTAAGGCGGGGAAGAGAAGGATCTGGCTCGCTGTTTGGAGAAAGGAAAGAGCAGGTAGGGAGGACTGGGGCTTCTCTACTTCTCTATCTTTCAGGCTTTTCCCTCAATATCTGACCCCTGCATTTTTATTGATAAAGAATAATTAGAGTATTCACACGTGTGTTTTGTTGGATCCCGTGGAACTGAGGTTATGGATGCTTGTGAGCCATTGTACTGATGCTGAGAAGTGGACCCAGGTTTTGTGCAAGAGCAACAAGTGCTCTTAATATTGCTGAGCCATGTCTCCAGCCCAATAAGGACTATTTTCAAGAATTCACTTCTCAATGTATCTTGTGCACAGGAACAGTTAGCCAGCACAGTCTTGTTGTTTCTGTTAAAAACTGAACGGGAAGTAGCCTGCCAATATGCTAGCCATTACAGGTAGGCTGTGAGTCTCACGGTGTGGTGGTCCTGAGGCACACTGCAAGGCGTTTCTCATAGATTGCTTTTCCCTCACTTGATGAACTTGTGTGTCCTTTCTATCCCTTTGCTCAGGTGGTCCAAAGTGAATTTTGAAAGGTATCAGTATATTTATCAATTTTCAGAAAGGGAATAGAAGACTCTCTTGGGGTAATGGACTATAGTATTTTCTCAAGAGTTTGCTGATCTTTTACATTTTGTCATTTCCTAATGATGAATAGATATTTGGATAGATTCTTGCTTTCCTTTTTTCTAAAACATTCTAATAGTTTAGACAAACACTCTAGTAACCTGGTGTCCACCAGCTCCTTAGCTGTAAAGGATGTTAATGTCTGACTCTGATAGCAATTAGATGATAATGGCATTGCCCATGAACAATACATCTTTTCTACTAAGGGGCTACCACAGCTAGAGGTCCAGAAGATCCGTGGAGTATGGCTACTTTTATGGGTTCTGAGGATTTCTCTTCTAAGGAAGACCTGAGTAGGGTCTTTTGTTCTCTTTGTGTGTGAGTTCGGAGATCACTTTGGAAATGTTCCGTTATCTGCTACTGCTCCAATACCTCTGATAAGAACCTAGAAGACTGAGATAAATAGTTTCAGCAGATACTGACTTTCTGAACTGTTTCTGCTTATTACCCGTAACTCAGGAAATGAAAAGATAGGAATGAGAAATGTTTGTCATTCTCCAAATTTTAGCTTTCTGCATGTCTCTAGAACAGTTATGGAGAGTTAGAGAAACTTAAACAGTTACTTTTGGGGGTATGAGATGGTGTGGTCAGGATGTTACCAGGCAAGTGGGCAACTTGAGCAGCATGCTTGAGGTCAGCCCTTACCAAGTGCATCTTTGTGAGAATGAGGACTGGCTGCTGAGATTATGGTCTTATTGGGAGATTTCATTCGCTCTCTTAGTTTGATTCTAAATAAAATGTTATTCGTTACTATTTCTTTAGTCTTTAGTAGTGTTTAGGTCTGTATATGAGACTCTGGTTTACAGATACTTTATAAAGGAGGTTTCGATTTTTAAATTATAAATATCTTGAATTAACAGTTCTTATCATTCAGATCACTTAGTATGCTTCAAAACTGGGTTAACAACCATGAGGGAAAGCTTTATTTTATTTATTTGTTTTATTTTCAGGTCCAAGCATCTCATTTTGAAGGTCTAATCACGACGATTGTTGGATATATACTTTTAGCAATAACACTGATAATTTGTCATGTATCCTTTAATGAGTCAGCTTGGAGTACAGTACTGTTCATACTGAGGAGTTCTCATTAACAAAAAAGCCACTTTCCACTATGTCTTCATAAAGGTTAGTGTTTGTGAAGGGATGAGTGTAGGAAGAATTTGAAACAAATGAAATTTGTTATTACACCCATTTAACCTGAAGAGTTTCTGTCTCCCACTCTCAAGTGTTCAGTCTCCTTGACTAGATGCTGCAGGCTTTGGCAACTCTTGTCAAGTTTCATAGGTCTCGACGCTTGCTGGGAGTCTGCTATATTGTGGTTAAGGTAATCCAGTTGTAAGTTAGAGCCCAAAGTGGTTTGTCCTCCATTTGGTTGATACTGATGACTTTATTTCTGTTTAATTAAGGTTTCTTTGTTAGTTGTGGTAGAAATTGGAGTCTTCCCTCTCATTTGTGGCTGGTGGCTGGATATTTGTTCTCTGGTGAGTTGAGCACCACTGTCATAGAAGACATTCCTTTTAAAGAAAATATTTGGTGATTTACTTATTCTTGGAATGTGACAATATTGAGTCTAAATGTCATTAGTTTGTCTTGTATTGTTTAATGTTTTATATGTATTTGAATGTCAGGGTATTTTAATTGGAGCTTTTATAATACTATTGGAGAATTTTGTTAATAATTTTTCCCTCCTAAATTTTATACTAATGTTGCCCAGTTTTTAAAACTATACTAGATGTTAATGATTTCTAGTTTTGATTTTTTAAAATATATGTAGAAAAGCTGCTTTGAGATTGACATTTATTTCTTATTCTTTACTATTTAAAACATCTTGTGAATGCAGACCTATAACTAAGAAATCAAGATTTTATATAAAGAGAATAGTTTTTACTAGTAAAGGGCTGAAAGCCTAGGTCAGTTGGTAGAATGCTTGCCTAGGATACATGAAGTCCTGGGTTCAATCCCCAGCACCACATAAACTGTGATGGCGGTGTCTGTGATTGTAGCACTGAGGAGGAAGAGCCAGGAGGGTCAGAACTTCCAGGTTTCCTTCCGCTTTATAGCAAGTTCTAGGCCAGTCTAAGATAGTGAGACCCTGTCATAGACAAAAAATGAACTAATGAAACTAATTATTTATGCTTCATGGTTTTTTTAATTGCATTATTTATTTTGAGTATTTGCTCATGTGATGGTGAGAGCACAGCTTGCAGTAGTCCACTTTCTTACCACGTGAGTCTCAGGGCTTTAACTCAGGTGCCTTTACCCACTGCCCATGCTCCAAGATTTTACAGTATTATGTACTCTACATAGTTCCGTGGCACTGTGGAATGGCATTAGGAGAACTGAAAACTAAAAACATTGACATTATGTACATTTGGTGAACTTACTCTTAGTGGTGGAAGTACTGAGCATTGCAAATGTAGGTGGCACAGATCTCTAAACTGTTGTGTGTTGACTCAGGAAATGTTTGATGCTACTCTGAAAGACAGAGAACTGAGCTTTCAGTCGGCTCCAGGAACTACGATGTTTCTGCATTGGCTGGTGGGAATGGTGTATGTGTTCTACTTTGCCTCCTTCATTCTGTTACTAAGAGAGGTAGGTCCTATAGGGATTTGTTGATGCTCTGTGTTTTTTAGATGGCCTTGACTTTGACCTCCAGTCAAAGGATGTTTTCTTGGTTTAGTTAGGACGTTTCCTAAACTAAATTAAACTAAACCATATTCTCTACTATTCTAAGAGGGAATAACTAGTAGTAGAGTTTGGTTTGAATACTTTAAATTGACATTTATCTAAAACAATTTTAAAAACGATCAAGGCTAGTTTAAAACCCAAGTTCTTACTTGATATGCATCATACTTACCCTCTGTTGTAAACTTCTAAAAGTGGTTGTGATAATAAATTGATGAAATCCCCAATAGAGGTTTTATAGGATTTAAAATATCAAAATATTTAGAAAATGACATTTGAAGTACAGAATTACAGTGAGGATTCTTTATTATCCCAGGTCAGTTGCCAGATGGGTACCTTCACAGATCCTCTTCTAATTGGTTTAAAAATGAGAGGAGATTAGTGTTTCCTTAATATACATCTCAAGCTGCAGATTCTGTGCTGTAATAATGAGAAACAGAGGCACAGTTCCTCTTCTCCTCTGTCTTGGAAATGAGTAAATCCTTTGAACAGATTAGCTTACTCTGCTCAGATGGTGACGGAGGAGAAAGCCTACAAAGCCAGGGAATGAAGTCATAGAGGCTACATGTCATCTGTACTTTGTGAAAAGTTTGAGGAGGATGGGGGTGGGTCTGCATCCTTCCCCTAAATCATAACAGTGTAATAACATTCATGTTTTACCTCAGTGATCTAGATTTCTTGATAAATTGTTCTCGGTGAGTGTTTTCTAGTTTATGACTAAAAGCTTCAAAAGGTTATTAAAAGCACAGTAATTTGATAGAATTTATGGCTGAGGAACTTTTTTTTTCATGACAGTTGTAAATTCTTTGGGATATTATTCTTCTGTTAGTGTTCATGTGCATAGCTAACATAATGATGTTATTGAGTATCTGTCACACTTTAAATATGTCTGCAGGTACTTCGACCTGGTGTCTTATGGTTTCTGAGGAATTTGAATGATCCAGATTTTAATCCAGTACAGGAAATGATCCACTTGCCCATTTACAGGCATCTCCGAAGATTTATCTTGTCAGTGGTGAGTAGGTCTTTTTATCTAAGCATACTACCTTTTTTTTTTATACAGTGTTTTTGTTGTTTGTATTCTTTTAGATTGGGAGGGCTGGGAAGCATACTGACTATACTTGCCTAAGCCTATGGGACATGCTTACCACGTAGTGTGCTGGACTCACAGTAAGGCTATGCCTCTTTCTTACTGCAGATTGTCTTTGGCTCCATTGTGCTTCTGATGCTCTGGCTTCCTATACGTATTATTAAGAGTCTCTTGCCTAATTTTCTTCCCTACAATGTCATGCTCTACAGGTAAGGATTTTGTTGTTTTTGTGGTTATTTGAGGGATTGAACTCAGTGCTAGTATATTAACCAAGTACCATACCAAACCCTATATCCCCAAACCCTATAGATACATTTTTAAAACTTAGAAAAGCTGTAATGATATATCACGGTTGGAAATTTAATATTCAGATTACATTGAGCCTTTTATATGAGAGTTCCATTTTGCCATAGTCTTAGTCACATGCATGTTAGTAGTTACATTTTTCAAAGGAAGACTTGTTTTTGCATTTATTTAGAACATTTTACCACACTTAATGAGAATTAGTAGCATTGTTTTTCTTTGTGTGCACCTTTAACTATGAACTAAGACTCAAGGCTTTTATCCTTTTGGGTTTAAACTTTCCAGTGACTTCATTACCTCATGACCTCGAGCTATGGGAATGAGATTGCTTCCTCAAATTCATTTCTGTCCTTTTAAGTCTTGTCAATTCCAGGCCCTTAATACCTTGCACTAAACCAACTCATTTACCACTCAGTAGCTTCGTTTCTGTCTCCCTTTGTTCTCCATTTATAGCCCACCCCTATCCCTGCCGTCCCTAGATTTTCTGAAAGTTTGGTTATATTATTCCCCTGTTAAAAAGTTGTCAGTAGTTTCTCCATAGTAGAATGAAGGCTTTATTTAAAACAGATAAAATATATAGTATGCTTAATAATCATTGCTGCTCTAGGGAAAAGGAGAGAAAAGAATAGCAGATGTCCAGGGTGGGGATTTAGAAGGAGTAACTGATAAGTTTGAGGTGACAGTTGAGGAAAGCCCTGACGGGAGGTGAGGAAGGGCTGTTGAGCCAACCATATGGATCCCTTGAGACGGAGTCAGGTGGACACAGTAGCACACAGGCCTATTTGATAGGCTAGTTTGGCTAAGAAAGAGAAATCAAAGTAGCTGGCTGTGAAGTCAGAGAAGTCCATGAAGCCAGTTCTTTGAGCTTCTTTGGAGGCTGTAATAAGCACTTTGGCTATGAGGCTCACTCTGGCTCCTCAGTGATAAGACATAGAGTAGGGATGATCAGGTTAGAAGAAGGAGGGTAGCCGGAGTATAATGTGGTGATCTCAGTGGAGATGGGAAGGGGATGGATGAAGGAGGTAGCGATGGAAGCTAAGAAGCAGAGTCAAAGGAGTCTAGCAGTGTGCACATGAGGTGTAAAGAAGGAAGTCAGAAATCAGAAGTTCTGTTGTTAGCATGAGAAAGTAGGTAGAGGTGAACAACGGTTCGGTTGGACGCTTGTTCTCAGCGTGATAATGCACATCGGCGTGGAGCACCGAATTCCACTGTGGGTGTACAAGTTAGGAGTCGGGAGAAATGTCAGGAGTAGGTGACGGTGGCATTCAAGCTGGATGAGTCACAGTTGCACAAGGAATAAGCTTGGTTGAGAAAGAGGACAGAACTGGGCCCTCATATTTCTAGACTGGGGAAGCAGCTGGTTTGGAAGCTGTTGAGGAAGACGTCAGGAAGAAGGGTGAGCAGCTCTCTAACATGTTACTCTCATAGTGCAAGTGAGCACTGTGGCATGACCATTGGTGGACACCAAGGGATCAGGAGCAGCTTTGGTGGAGTTTGAAGGACAGTCTCACTGAGTTGAGGAGAGAGTGGGAGAAAAGCAATAAAAACAATGGGTTCATTTGGTTTGAGACCTGTTTAAGTAGATGTTTTGTAAGTTAAAATGGAAGTAGGACTCATGTCATGAACCTGTGACTGTTGCAGTGATGCTCCGGTGAGTGAGCTGTCCCTTGAGCTGCTCCTGCTGCAGGTCGTCTTGCCAGCGCTGCTGGAGCAGGGACACACGAGGCAGTGGCTGAAGGGGCTTGTGCGTGCATGGACCGTTACTGCGGGATACTTGCTGTGAGTATGGCAGCTGACTCCATGTGTGTTGTCTGTCCCCATAACTTTTCTTTTTTCCATTTTGAGACATTCTTACCCAAGCTATAACCCTAGAGTCCCCGTGCCCTAGTCTCCTTAGTGCTGAGAGCACATTTGCCACCATGGCCTATATTGTTTTATAACCTTTCTGAAAGAAGTGTGTTCTATGTTCCAATCAATAAAAAGTAGTTTTAGAGGCCAGAGAGATGACTTAGCAGTAAGAGTTCTTGCTGTTCTTCCAGAGAACCCAATTCATTCCCCAGAACTAGTGTTAGGCTACTCATAACTGTTGGTGAGTCCACATCTGGGAATCTGGTACCTTTTCTGGCCCTCTGGGCACCTACACACATGTGGCATACATACACATATGTACATATAAACTCTTATAAAACTCTAGGTTTAATAGGAAACAGTGGAGTGCTGTCTGCAGGTTGCTCTTTCAAGGAGGGTGTGTGCACACTGTCCCCTGTTATGCAGGCTCACTGCTGCACCTTTTGTGCTGTAGATGTGGCAAACAAAGGGTATTGGGGCCAGGCCAGCACATTTAGACTACATGGTGTGCTTATGTGGGAATGCGACAGCTCCATCCACACACATTAACCTAAAAGTTAAAAAATGCAGTGTATTTAAAGACAAACTGGCTTACTGTGTTTTAGGGATTCTAACCAGGTAAAGTTTTCTGAGGTTTGATTTTTTTTTGTTTGTTTGTTTGTTTGTTACTTAGTTACGTTTTATGCTGCTGTGATAAAATACTCAACAGAAGCAGTTTAAGGGAGTGTGTTTGTTTTGGCTTACATTTTGAGGGTAGAATCCATTGTGGTGGGGTAGTCTTGGCAGCAGGAGCTTGAGGCATTTGCGCTTGTGTTTGCATTCAGGAAGTAGAGAGAAAGAAATGCTAGTCTACAGCTAGCTTTTCTAATTTAATCTCTTCGGGATCCTTGGCCTGCCCAGTGAATGGTATCATCCACTTTTAGGATGGGTTTTTCCCCCTTAGCCTAATATAGACATTCTCTCACTGGCATTCCAGAAGCCTCTCTCCTAGGTTCTGTCTTTAGTTAGGGTTCCCATTGCTGTGGTAAAGAACCATGACCAACAGCAACTTTGGGAAGAGAGGGTTTATTTCATCTTACACTTCCAGGTAGCAGTCCATCACTGAAGAAAGTCAGGGTAAGAACTCAAGACAGGAATCTGTAGGCAAGAAGGATGCAGAGTCCGTAAAGGAATGGTGTTTACTGTCTTGATTCTTAAGGCTTTATTATCCTGTTCCTTATATTCCTCTCTCCCTCAAACCACCTACTCATGGATGGCAACTCCCTCCCACATCAATCATGAATCAAGAATATGCACTATAGGCTTATGCACAGACCAGTCTGGTGGGGGCATATTCTTAATTTATTATGTTCCCTCTTACCAGGTGACTGTAGCCTGTGTCAAGTTGTTATAAAACTGGTCAGCACTATTGACTCTAGATCTTGTCAGGTTGATGATCAGGGTTAACCCCCCACAGCCATTTGTATTTATTCATCTGTGTTTATTGAATTTATAAGATAGGGGAGTTTCTGTGAAATAGTTGGCATACTGTGGTAAAATTACTGTGTGGTGTAGACTTGGTTACATTTGATTAAACACCACCCTTCCCCAGTGCTACTCTTGTTTGAAGTGATTTGTAGCTTATACAGGAGACACAGCAATCATTTGGAAAGAAGAAAAGTTTTTCACTCTGTGGAGCCTAATGCCAACTATCAGTGTTTTCCTCTAAATAACTGTTTCTTCCTAGGTGTTGAGTGAAGAAACAAAATAGGTTGAATTTGTGGAGTGTCCCACAAACTAGCTAACATAGTTTAGGGTTTAATTTGAAGCAGACACCAGCATTTAGTCTAGATAGCAGGAGTAATGCTCTATATGGAATCCACATACATGGTTTCTATTCTTTAAGAAAATACAGTATGCTTGTCATTGTCACTCTGACCTGAAATGAGGCTCACTGGTGTAACTTGTATAGGGACCTACATTCCTACTTACTGGGAGACCAGGAAGAAAACGAGAACAGTGCAAATCAGCAGGTCAACAATAACCAGCCTGCTCGAAACAACAATGCTATTCCACCTGGGGAGGGTCTGCATGCTGCCCACCAAGCCATACTCCAGCAGGGAGGACCTGTTGGCTTTCAGCCTTACCGACGGCCTTTCAATTTCCCACTCAGGGTAAGTCTATACAGCCTGACTTCTGTAAATTAATCTTTTCTTTCAGTTTTCTACTGAGAATTAATACTGTTAAAATATGGTTATTGAAAACAAACCTGTTTTTATTATAGTCATTATATAGCTTAAATGTTCAAAATAGATTTATCAGATTTTGGAGATGGACACTGTGTGGATTTAGAATCCCATGAACTTTAGCTCTTACTGTTTGAGAAAAAGAGACTGTAAAGTAGAAGAAGCTAGCATGATGGATAACATTTCAGGTCTGTGTGTCAGGAACTGTAATGACATGTTAGTGTTTGTCTCTGGTTTAATCACCACTCACAGCTATTGATCAGAACAGAACTGTGTTCCTGAGTATGAAGCACAGTACAGTGAGCATGGAGCAAGCGTGTGTGGCCTTCAAGGCTCTTCACTCTGACTCCTGCTCATCCCAGACTGTTGAATGTCACAGCTTTCCTGGTCCCTCACCTCTCCTCTGCATATGCTGTCTCCTGAATACAATTGTCTGCAGTTCCAGGTTACCATGTCCAGTGTTTGCTTAAGGACCTGCTATATGTGGGTAGTCATCTCATGTTGATAGATAATGAAAGTGAAAATCAGCTTGGCTAAAAATATGCCTGATTCATGGTCTTGAAGCTAGCCGTCATTCTGTGATTCAAAGTCTTGACAGAAATTTATCCTGATGATTAGTGCCATTTACATGCAGTTTGTTATATTTCAAATCCTTGTTCTTATTTTTCAATTACCTGTGGGTCATATGTAGCCATTGCCTAAGCACACCTTGAGTGTCTGTGATATTTTTGATCTGTGTTAGGGTTATAGAGGTCATGCATGCTGTCTTTGCCCTGAAACCACTTTCATACTATTTTGGGAGATTACAAAGCAAAACCAAAGAGTAGCAAATTTGAGTTCTCAGCATAGATGTTTCCTGAGGGCACTGTACTACAAACCAATGCAGAAAACTTCATGTAGGAGGTGGTACCTAAGCTGTCTTTAATGCTAAGAGGACAAGTAGATCAAGAAATGGAAAGTAGGAAGGACATTCCAGCCATATGCGAGGAAAGGGCACATGGGGCGTATCAAGCTTGGAACTGCAGGTAACTGGTTGTGATTTAGAGGGTGGGGATGTATGCAGAGGAAAGATGAGAGACAAAAGAAACTGACAGGACTCTGGACTGGGCAGCAGCCAAGTGGAGAGTCTTGAATATCATGTATACACTAGTTGTCACTCATGACTTTACGCTTCCTGCCCCACTGAGAAACACATCTATTTAGATGCAACAACTTATCCTAGAAATTTTGCTTATAATGGTGAAGGAAACAAGGTCTTTAGTACCTTTGTCTGCAAATCCTAAAAGCAGGCCTCATAGTGAACACCTGTTTCACTTTTCCCTGGTCTCCACTCAATCTTCTTGTTGAGTGGTGGCACACGGATATAATCCCAGCACTGGGGAAGCAGAGACAAGTGGATCTGTGAGTTCGAGGCCAGCCTGGTCTACAGAGTGAATTCCATGACAGACTGCAAAGCTACAGAGAAACTATGTTCAAAACCAAAACCAAAAAAAAAAAAAACCATCAATACAGAATCGCAGAATTGCTAAGGCTTTTTAGGCAGGCAAAGCTGTAGTGTTAATGAGTTTTTTCTCGTCAAGAACTCTGCCCTCTGATCTTGGGGCTCATGTTCATGGTAAGGTAAGAAATGAACTAGAGTGCTGCCTTTCAGCCCACCAGCAGAGGGTCTCCTCTTCCCTGTGTGCTGTTGTTCCATTGTCACTTTCCAGGACAGTAGCCACTGGCTACGTTATTTATTTATAGTTAAGAATAATGAAAATAGAATTTGAAATTCTGTTATTATCCTATGCTATTCACATGTCAGGAGTTCAAAAGCTGCATGTGGCCAGTGACTGCTGTTTGCTGGACAGGCAGAACTAGATGTTCCTGTCACCACACAGAACATCTGATTGAATAGCACTGTTACTGAGTTTAGAAGGATAGGTATTTTAAATTTGTTATACTAAATTTTGGGTGAGTTTGTTTGGCTGAGTACAAATATGTTTGCTTCTTTCTTGTGGGTGATGTAGGTGGGTCTTCTTTCTATGTGTTGCTTTCATTGGTTAATTAATAAACTGCTTGGCCTGATAGGTCAGAACATAGGTGGGTGGAGTAGACAGAACAGAATGCTGGGAAGAAGGAAAGTGGGTTAGACGCCATGGAGCCAGCTGCCAGGTCAGATGTGCTGAATCTTTCCTGGTAAGCTACCATCTCGTGGTGCTACACAGATTATTAGAAATGGGTTAATCAAGATGTGAGAGTTAGCCAGTAAGAGGCTAGAGCTAATGGGCCAGGCAGTGTTTAAATGTGTTGTTATTTCGGGTGTAAAGCTAGCCATGTGGGAGCTGGGCGGACGAAAAGCAGGCCTGCTTGCCTTCTCACTACATGTGGGTATATCTGATTGTGTGAAAACAAACACTTGTTTTCTGTAGGCTACTTCCCTCCCCCGAAAGCACAGGTGCAGACTGCCTACTCCCCCGAAAGCACAGGTGTAGACTTCCTCCCTCCCCTGAAAGCTCCTGAAAGCACAGGTGCAGGCTGCTTCCCCCCCCCCCCCAAAGCACAGGTGCAAGCTGCTTCCCCCCCCCCCCCCAGCACAGGTACCGGCTGCTTCCTCCCCCGAAAGCACAGGTGCAGGCTGCCTCCTCCCTTCTTTCTTTCTCTCCTCAGTTCTGTGAATATAGGCAATGTGTCCCTGTGCCCAGTAGCATGCTTTTATAGAGGGAGTTATGTGACTGCTTTGAAGAGTATCAGAATCCAGTGAGGTCATGTGAACCACTTATGGACTTTGTTTTTTCTTACAGATATTTCTTCTGATTGTCTTCATGTGCATAACACTACTAATTGCCAGCCTCATTTGCCTTACTTTACCAGGTATGAGATTATCCTAGACTCAGCTATTAAATGTTAAGATTCTTTTCTCAAAACAGGTTGTATCTTATAGAGAAGAGATTTATCATCAAATAGAAGCTGGAAATAGACCTAATGTTTGGTTTACAGGCTATAGATCCCTTAGGGGTACTTCATCCTGTTGGACTCCATAGAACATAGAGCATAGGTTCACAAGTTCCAGAAACAGTTATTGTAGTAGGAAGCCACTTGTTCGTTCCTAGCTGCCCAGACTTGAAATAACCACACAGAAACTGTATTAATTAAATCACTGCTTGGCCAATCACTTTAGGGCATTGCTAGCTAGCTCTTGCATCTAGAATTAACCCATTTCCATTATTTTATCTTTTACCTTAAGACTTGTGGTCTACCTGCAAGGTTCTAGCTGGTGACTCCATGGCTTCTTCTTGACTCTGCTTTCTTTCTCCCAACATTCAGTTTAGTTTTCCCCGCCTACCTCTGTTCTGCCATGCCAGGCAGGCCCAAGACAGATTCTTTATTAACCAATAGTATTCACAGCATACAGAGGGGAATTCCACATCACCTTCCCCTTTCTGTCTAAATAAAAAGGTTTTAACATAGTAAAATTACAAATAACAAAGCAGGTATCAAACAAGAATTACAGTTACAATAATTATCTACTTTATCTTTTATCATAACTAATCTATGATTATAACTATTTTTGAACTCCATTAAAGACTCCAGAAGGCTATAATATTACCTAAGTAAACAGGAAGTGCATTGTAAGTAACTTCCAAAACTCTAGAAGAGACATCTTGCTACCTGGACAGTCACCCAAATTTTTCTGTACCATTGGGGTATCCATCTTTAGCCTACAGGCCCACAATATCTGGCAGACTTTCCCATGAAGCAGGAAATTTCAAAGACAGTTACGCAGTTTGTCTTCTGTGTTCTGCAGAATGTCTGGCAGACTCTTTTATGAAGCAGGAACTCCAAAGGACTGTCTCACCTTCTCTAGACAACTTCAGCAGTTATTTCTCTGTGGGTCCTGCATGTCCAGTTCATCAAGCAGTCCAGGCAAGAGCAGTTTCTTGCCCACATAGCTAGCAAACTCCATAAGGAGCCTCTTCGATGCCCATCTTCCTCTTAAATTAATTGGTGCTGCCAGGAGCAGATGTGTCTCATTGTCATGAAAAGTCCTAAGTTATTAAAACATTTTAAATGCCATATTCTGGAAGTTACTTACAATGCACTTCCTGTTTATGTAGGTAATATTGTATCCTTCTGGAGTCTTTGATGGAGTTGAAGAATAATTATAATCATAGATTTCCATTTAAATGCTTGGCCTCCTGAAAGAGCAAGACTCTCTGTGTATTTTCCATCTTTACGTGGCTTATTTTTCTTTTCTTTAAAATGATTTACTTCTTTTTATAACTCTCTATACTCTTTTTCTTCTCTCTCCCAAGCCTATATACATTTATCCAACACTGTGACCCATTTAGAGGTCTTTTTTTATCTGAATCTTTTTTTATTATGTATCTGTAATTATTTTCTGACCAGAAGCACCTTTTCTTTTTTTAATGCTAAGTGGGTGTGGCTCGGGCCAACACAGCCCTGCCTGCTTGCTCTGCTCAGTCTAACATGGCAGATGCATGTCCATTGCCTCTGAGAGCCATGTACATTGCTGTATTTTTAGGCATAGAGCAGGTCTATGTTGCTATTAAGTAGGTTGTAGCACTCTGCTCACAAACCCCATTTAAATGCTTGGGCTACCTAAAGAGCAAGAGTTTGTTCTAGCAGAATGGCCCAGGAAGCTACTGTTTTAAACCATGCAGGATTTTTTTTCTGCTACTGCTGAGTCAGGAAGACCTCTCTTAAGGAGTTGTGGCCAGCAAACAGAGCCCATCTGGGGGAAAAATATGGCTAAACTTTGTTTTGCAGTGTCTAGAATTTCTTTCCAAATCCTCTCAGGTTTTATGTGGATTTAGCTAGCACACCATGTTGTTGTTGGAGGCCAATTGTTTATTCCCAGCTGCCCAGACCCCTGAAATAATCACTCATAAACTATATTATTTAAATCACTGCTTGACCAAACACTTAAGCATATTGCTAGCTAGCTCTTACATCTATAATTAACCCATTTCCATTATTTTATATTTTACCATGAGGCTTGTGTCCTACTGGCAAGGTTCCAGCTGGTGGCTTGTTTTTCTCCTCTGGTGGCTCCATGGCTCCTTGGACTCCATGGAGTCTAGTTGACTCTGTCTTCTTTCTCCCAGCATTCAGTTTAGTTTTCCTCACCTACCTCTATTCTGCCCTGCCAGGCCCAAGACAGATTGCTTATTAACCAATGGTATTTACAACATACAGAGGGGAATCACACATCACGTTATGGGTTTATTCCAGAGGATGGCATTACAGCCTTTCAGTTTTCATGGTCCCCACACTGTGGGTTTTCAAAGTCATTTGTAAGATATAAGACATTTTTCCCAGTCAGTATGTAAATAACTTTAAAAGTTAGACTGTTTCCTCTACTCTGGGATTCATAAATGTTGTTCTTCTATGGCATTAATTGTTAGAAATTTCAACAAAACAGTATTTCTTCATCTAACAAGTGAGCTGCTCTGGTTGGATAAGTAGCTTGTCGTCCTCTCCAGAGGATCAGCCTTCAGTGGGATGGAGTGTACAAAGCCAGTGACAAATCATAGAAGAGTTTGTCCTGTTGCTTATACCCAGTCAGGACATTCCAAATCGTGCTGGTAGTTGTTATCCACTAAATGGTATATTGAGTAAGTCTTGATTGTAATACTCACTTAATAATTTATATGTCAAATTTGCTTTAAAATTTGTTCCTTGAGTTGTTAAAAGTTTGGGAAAGAACAACTAGGGACATTAAAATTACTTTAAAGCAAAGTTTCTAAAAAAAACATTTTTTTAATTTGAAGAAATTACGATTTTTATCTTCATTTGGTTAAAAGAGACATTTTACTATTTCTACATGGAGACTTTAAAAAGATTTTTATTGATTCTTTGAGAACTTTGTTTTGGTTTTTCGAGATAGGGTTTCTCTGTAGCTCTAGCTATTCTGAAACTTGCTTTGTAGACCAGACTGCCTCTGCCTCCCAAGTACTGGGATTAAAGGCATGTGCCACCACTGCCCAACACTACACAGTGGTCAGCCTGCCTGGTGCCACTCCCCTTAAAGAAAACAGATTCTTCCCTAGTAGCCTCAGCTGTTCCTTAGTTAGGAGTAGGGCTCATGCCCTTCTTCCTACTCCATGCTAGAAGTTGATTGGCTTGATCTTGTTGAGATCATGTGCAGTTAGTTGGTGAGTGCAGTGGTCCTGTTGTCCTGTGTTGACATTTTCTGTTCCCTCTTCCTCAATGAACTCTGACCCGTGGGGAATGGCACGGAAATGCATGAGTGATACAAATGTCCTCTTGGCTAATACTTGAAGACTTCTGACCTTGTAAGACTTTAAGCATCTCTGTCCTTAGATGTCCTTAGACTTAGTATTAGGAAGGCAGTACATAATAAAGCACCAGGGATCTTGTTCCTCTCTCAAGCTTTATTGAGAACAAGTTATGTACACACAGTTAAGGAATTCTATAAGATATACTTGAGCAGTTAACTATATGACTGTACCGTGGAGTTTATTCCAAACCTCTCTTCGCTGCACCTGTGCCTCACACTTGAGATCCCAGCACTCAGGAAGTTGAGGCAGGAAAATTGCTTTTGAGTTTGAGACCACCTTTGACTATACTGTCTCAAAACAAAGGAAAAAGCACAAAAACTAATAACCTTTAGAAAGATCTTAGTTCTGTGTCTTGTTCTGTTTTTGTATTGATTTTTAAAGAAAGTTTATACAGTTTTCTTTGATACTGTGTCTTGAAATGTTACTGTGCCTACCGCATTCTTTTAACAAGCTGAGTCTTCTGTGCAAATGAGTGGATCATTTGAAAGAAAATTAACCTAAATTGTATTGTTCCTAGATAAAGTGTTTACAGCACAAATAATAGAAATTTTCTGTCTTTATTTTATTAGCATAATAATTACAGTTGGTAATAAAAATAATTAAGCACCAATGCTCATAACTTCTCAGGCTAGGAGAAATTAGTAAATGGCATGGCACACCAGGGTTTATATTCTGGGGGAATCAGCTCATTGACTGTATTTGGGGTATTTCTTAGTCAAGTAATTCTGTTTTCTAGAGAACTGTTTTTGTTTATTCTGATGTGAAAATATTTGTAGAATGTCAAGATTACAGTTCTCTTTACCTAGCCATGTGTCTCATTTGTCAGCCTTTCTATTTTCAGTATTTGCTGGTCGTTGGTTAATGTCATTTTGGACGGGGACTGCCAAAATCCATGAGCTGTACACGGCTGCTTGTGGTCTCTATGTATGTTGGCTGACCATAAGGGCAGTGACGGTGCTGGTAGCCTGGATGCCCCAGGGACGCAGAGTGATTTTCCAGAAGGTTAAGGAGTGGTCCCTCATGGTAGGTTTCTGTAATAAGATATTGATCCTATCTGGTGGTAATGAATACTTTAACAGCTGCTTCCCATTGTCTTCTCTTGTGTCACTGGTTTTCATCAGAAGGAATATTCCTCTAAGATAGTAGCCTTCCCCCGTTTCACCTAAACCACAGCTCTTTACCGAGATGCACTGAGTTAACAGAAGACCGTGCTAAGTGACCTTGTGAGATAATTAAGAATTTCAGAATATGCTTTTGGAGATGTGAATGCACAAGTAATGGAAGTCATTCTCAAAACCCTGATTGAACAGAGACAGACAGATCCTTTTCTGAATCTTTCTTGTACACACTGTTGGCTGGGCTAGTAAATACGGTAGCCTGGTCATCTGGGTAATTAGCTCTGATTTCTGATCTGAGTTTATATTTTGCTTTCTCTTAGAGTTTATGCATTTATATTTATGCTGAAACCATTTTTAATATTTTATAGTTTTACTTGTTATTTGCACATACTATATGTATATGAGTATATTCTAATCAGACTATAACATATTTCACTTTTCCATCATTGTACAATTACTGTATGTTGATAAAATCCATGTGTGTAGTGAGGTATTGTTGATTATTGTAGGTTATGAGTAGAGGGAGTTAATTGCTCCTTAGTCCTTAGGGTAATGAGCAACTTATCAATATTTAATACAGAACCCAGCTAACTGTAGTTTTATTTGGTAGTCTATCATATCTTCACAAAGGCCATGTAAAGAGGTAGTATATATTCCACAAATACTGTGCTTGGTCATATATTAGAATATTTGTATCCACTGAAGCCACCTTATGAAAAGGTCACCAAAACCCAAAGTCACTTTAAGACTGATTTTATTGCAAGTATTTTCTAGTTCCTTTTGTCAATTTTTTTTTGGGGGGGGGGGTTCGAGACAGGGTTTCTCTGTGGTTTTGGAGCCTGTCCTGGAACTAGCTCTTGTAGACCAGGCTGGTCTCGAACTCNGCTCTTGTAGACCAGGCTGGTCTCGAACTCACAGAGATCCGCCTGCCTCTGCCCCCCCCCCCCCCCCCCCCCCCCGAGTGCTGGGATTAAAGGCATGCGCCACCACTGCCCGGCATGTCAATATTTTTTTATTTTGCTACTTAGTCCAAATCTAAAGCTCTATTGTGAATGCACTAGCTATAGTTGTTAATGTATTGAAAAGATAGGCATCATTTCTTCACCTGAAAGCCAGACTATTTTAGTGGGGTCAGTCTGATTGGTTTGATGAATAAGTTTAACTAGAGTCAGGATAAACCACCAGTTCACCCGAGGACTCACAGATCAGCTTATGAGTTAGGTAACTGTTGAATCAGGGTTTTGGCAAATCAGTAGGCTTTTGCAGACAATAAAAATCAAGTACAGAGCTGGGCGGTGGTGGCGCACGCCTTTAATCCCAGCACTCGGGAGGCAGAGGTAGGCAGATCTCTGTGAGTTCGAGACCCCAAAGCTACAGAGAAAACCTGTCTCGAAAAACCAAAAAAGAAAAAAAAAGGCAAGTACAGAGAACGATATTTTAAAGAAAACATCAAAGTCATCTTGTTTATTGAATATAACAGTAGATGAAATTTTTGGGAAAGTATGTTTTATAGCAACAATCCATAATAGCAATAGGTTTTGTTGCAGCTAGAGCTCTGCATTCGTTCACTCTAGCAAGTTCACTTAATGGGTTTGGGGATGACTAGGCTGATAAAACTCTTGCCTGACAAGCTGGGGGACCCAGATAACATGCCGGGTAGGGTGACATGTTCTTGTAAACTCAGTGATGAAGAGGCAGAAACAGGAGGACTTTGCTGGTTGAGTTCGCTGACTGACCAACCTAACCTAATCGATGAGTTCTGTGCCAGTGAGACACTTTTCACAAAGGAGGGGGATGACATTTAAGATTTTCCTCTGATTTCAATTGTGTTTGTACAGTTGGGGTACAGGTGCACCCAGCACATGTACATATATGCATTAGAAAAAGAAGCTCCACTGAAATATCTAACATAAAAATGTGTGTATATGTTGTTTAAAATGGTATAATTTTACAAAATAGTATAATTTGCCCCGTTGGACATCAGGCCAAAGAGGGAACAAGCCTTACAGTGACTGGTTTGTTAGAACAGAGTCTCCTTTGTTATAACTAGGTGTCCTGTTTCCTGCTAGATAATGAAGACTCTGATAGTTGCTGTGCTGCTGGCTGGGGTCGTCCCACTGCTCCTGGGGCTCCTGTTTGAGCTGGTTATTGTTGCTCCTCTGAGGGTCCCTCTTGATCAGACTCCCCTTTTCTACCCTTGGCAGGTATGTGTGTTTTCCTTGTGATTGTTGCTAATGGTTTGGGATAAAAAAAAAAAAAAAAAACCTTGATTATTTTAGTTTATGCAGTTTGTTTAGGAAGATTGTTTTCCTATTCTAGGAACCCTTGTAAAGTTGTTAAAATAATGCACTTTAAAATGTGAAGGCCTCATAAATCCTTCCCTCAGAATACTTTGGGGATTAAAAGGATGCTCTTCACTGAGCTTGCTGTCTAGGACTCACATATATGAAGAACTGATCTGTGCCTATGCCATGGGATGCCCTTATTCCTGTCTCCCTAAAATAAATAATGAAATTAAGAAAAAAAATTTAAGGGAGTATTTCATATCGTGGTAAGGATTTATGGTTCTAAGTGGGGACTAGTGCTTGCAGGGTCTGGTGTACGTTGTTTAAAATGTCTCGATGGGCCAGGCGGTGGTGGCGCACGCCTTTAATCCCAACACTTGGGAGGCAGAGGCAGGCGGATCTCTGTGAGTTCGAGACCAGCCTGGTCTACAAGAGCTAGTTCCAGGACAGGCTCCAAAACCACAGAGAAACCCTGTCTCGAAAAACCAAAAATAAAATAAAATAAAATAAAATGCCTCGATGGGATGGCAGGCATTGGTTGTCACTGGCCAGCTGAAGGGGAGAGGCTGGAGGCAGGGTACTGGGAATGGAAGACATCCTGTTCTGGTAATAGTTCAGGAAAACCACAAATGCCTGAGCTTGCGAGCCTTTGGAGTAATTTCTTAGGTCTAAAATGTCTTATTATGGCGTAAATTAGTTCAGTCCATACCAGTAACACAGGAAAAGCAACAAGAATGGTTGTTAAAATAATAGCATTTGTTTTACTTGCTTGCTGGGGTCTCCATTAATGCTCAAACTTCTATATTCTCTCAAGAAAAAAATGTTAGGTTTCTAAAGGAGCTTTTACATATTATTCCCCGTTCCTTGTTTTTTGAGAGTTTTGTACAATGTATTTGATCATTTGATTATATTCATCCCTTTCCTCCACTCTTCCCAGATTCATTTCCCCTTTCCTTACTGGCTTTCAACTTGGTTCCTTTGGGAAGAAAAGTATTTTTAATCCAAAAAATATTTGCTGCCCATATATACTCATGGGAGTGTGACTTTTACCCACCAGCAAAGAATTTCTTTTTTGCAGCAAGGTGGGGAGGCGTCTAAGATGGTTTTTTTTTTTTTTTGGTGTGTGTGTGTGTGTGTTTGTGCGCATGCGTGTGTGTGTGTGTGTGTGTGTGTGTTTGTGTGTGTGTGTGTGTGTGTAACAGTCCTGGCTGTCCTAAAACTCACTCAGGGCTGGCCTTGAACTCAAAGAGATCCTCCTGCCTCTGCCTCCCTTTTGGTCTCTTTCTTCCCAAAAGCTGTCAGCTGTCAGTTGCTTAACTAAACGTTCCCAGTTCTGTGCAGTTCCATTCTGAAACTGAACAGCATTGTGTAGGCTTCATGTCAGTCAGTGAAGATGTGTTAAGTGTTCTTGGTTTCTTCTAACTACAGGATTGGGCACTGGGAGTGCTACATGCCAAAATTATCGCAGCTATAACTCTGATGGGTCCTCAGTGGTGGCTGAAAACGGTCATTGAACAGGTAAGCCAGTTCAGAGAAATATATTTGAAGTGGGCTGTGGTTCTATTTAGCTAATGGAGTTTTAGTTTCCATGATTCTGCTTTTTGAGCTCTCTATTTTCATTAATGTGCACCTATAGTTTTTTTTTTTTTAAGTGTGTGTGTGTGTGTACCTATGTAGAACAACTTTTGGGCTTTCTAGGGTTGCATAACAAGTGCTTTTACCACTGTGCCGACTTTCCGGCCTCTTTTTCTTTTCTTTTTTCTTTTTTTTTTTTAGAGTTTTGTTTTCTCATGTATAGTTGTTAAAATAAAATATGCCTTGAGAATGAATAATTATTAAAGAGGTAGCTTTGAATTCTAGCTGATGTAGTTTTATTTATTTTTTAAGAAAGACTAACAAAATTTTAGAGAACTGGTAAGCCAAAAAGAAGGGATTTTGAGACTGCAGGTAGGCTTTTGGGAAAAGAGAAAAAAATGATAAGAAGCTGGTTAATAGCCATGTCTGCTGTTGTATTCCTGCACTTGAGATGTCAAAGGCAGGAAGATCATGTTCAAGGTCATCCTCAATTATATAGCAAGTTTAGGGACAGCCTGGGCCACATGAGGCCCTATTTCAAAAAGCCGGGGAGAGTGTATAATGAGGTTTATCGGGTTCTTTGCTGTGGTCCTTTCTAGGCCTGCAGGTTTAGGATGTCTCTAGCTGACATTTGCCCTCAATAGTGTGGGGTTAGGAAGGTGACCCGGCTTTTATGTAAAGAGAGAGGAAGGATTGGGTGCTTCCATTCCACTTGCCTTCCAGTTGCCTCTTGCTTAACACCATCCTTATACCAAAAATGTCAAGGCACTTACTCTGCTTTCACTCATTATGGCGGGTTTTTGTCAGTCACCATAACCCACCTGAAGGTTAACCAGTAAACTAAGATACCTATAACTGTCTAAAGCAGAGGCAAAGCTGCTCCTAGTCATTTTCAATACAGACGTTCTGATGAAACTTGGCGTTCGTACTTCTTAGCCTGTCCTGACAAAAGTAAGATACTACTCAATAACAGATAGGGCCGGGCTGCTTAGGAGTACTCTGATTGCATAGCATCTAAGACTGCCGCTGTACTAGGGAGCTGTCAGGAAACTTGGTTATCATGGTGCTAACCTTGAGAAAAGTAGGTTGTGTTTTTGAACACTAATTAGTAGGAAGCATGGTAATTCATATCAGAAAGATGTCTTCCATCTGAATAGCCTAAGTAGAGATTTTAGTATTTGCTTCTTTAAACTTTAGTTATCTGGAAAATGTACTCAAGGATAACTCAACCTTTTCATTCTTAGGAGATTGCTAGGCAGATAGTCTTACAGCTCTGCAGCAGTTTTAAGACACACCTCTTCCTGATGTATAGAAATTGAAGACAGTAGTTCTCTCTGGCCAGCATACATGAAAATCAAGCTCTTGATTCTCATACCAAGAGTGGGGCCAGGAAATAGTACATCAGAAGGCCACTCTGTGTGTGCCTGTGGCAACATATCCCTTCAAGGAGAAACAGGAGCCTGTCCACTGCAATGTCTCCCAGTTAAAACTCTCTGCCTTCTGCACAGATGCCTAGAAATAGGGTTTTTTTTGTAGGTGGGAGCTATGAAACCTTGTTTGTGGGATCCCTTTGTCTTTTGTACTTTAGAGTCGGGGGGTGGGACAAGGGGACACAAATGTGAAGCAGTAATGCAGGCTGACTGAGAAGCACTGGGATGCCTGCTCCGTAGTGATGGTGCATGTGGGTTGCCTTACTGGGAGGTGGGCCTTGTCTTTAGAGGCTTAAGCCTGCTTGTTCTTCAGATCTTGGAGTAAGGACTTGAGTTGGGCCACATCCTAGCTTCTAAGAAGCTATGAAGCCAAGAGAAGAAAATAAAGACAGTTCTGTCTTATCCCTCTGTCTACAATAGTGTTTTTCATTTTCATGGTTTCCCACTTTCATCCATTTCTTTAATCCCCGCAGAACATAGTAGCATTTTCCAAAGATAATTAGTGTTTCCTGGGGGCCACAGCACTCATGTGAAGGCCAGAAGACAAGCTGTGAGAGGCAGTTCTCTCCTGATGTCATGTGGGTCCGGGGGGATCAAACTCAGGATTTTTGGCTTGTTGCAACCACCTTTATCTTCTGAACATTTCAGTGTCCCACACCCTAACTATTACTTTTCCACATTTCAGGTTTATGCAAATGGCATTCGGAACATCGACCTTCATTATATCATTCGTAAGCTGGCAGCTCCAGTGATCTCTGTGCTCTTACTTTCCCTGTGTGTACCATATGTCATAGCTTCTGGTGTGGTTCCTCTCCTAGGTGGGTAATGCTCCTTTTATTAGACACTAAAATACTAACGTTAAACAAAAGTTAGCTTGTTGCCGTTTTGGCTGTTTAGAATATCCTACTGGCTATTTTTTCATGTTTATGTTTATTGAGGTACATTACAGTTTCCCCATTGATAGTATGTAGATTTGAATTACTATTTGAAGCTGGATGGTGATGACACACACCTTTAATCTCAGCACTCGGGAGGCAGAGACTGGCGGATCTCTGTAAGTTTGAGGCCAGCCTGTTCTACAAGAGTGAGCTCCAGCACATCCAAGGCTAAACAGAGAAACCCTTTCTGGAAACACACACACACACAGTATTACTGTTTGATTTCCATACCTAACCTTTTCATATATGGATTAGAAATTTCATTGGAGACATAGGGTGGGTGCCGAATAACCCAAGCACTTGGGAGGCTGAAGCTTGAAGATCTTAAGTTTGAAACCAGTTTGTACTAACATCAAGATCCTGTCTGCATGAAAGGGGAAAAGTAAATTTTATTATACCTCTTGGGAAAGTAAAAGGAGTAACAGTAGTAAATGAATAGTAAAGCACTTATTGGCACTGTCTTGGAGGTTACAATGTTACTGTTAGTATTCTTGTGTGTGTGTGTGTGTGTGTGTGTGTGTGTGTGTGTGTGTGTTAGGGGAAGCCAGAGAACAGCTCTGGATAATGTTACTTAGATAACAATAAGGAACTGTTTTGAAACGGGGTCTTTCATGTTCTGGAGCTCACTTATTAGGCAAGGTAGCTAGCCACTAAACCCAGGATCTGTCTGTTTCTACCTCTGCGGCAGTGTTACTACGAATTTCCCATGTGAGTTTAGGAGTCAGACCCAGGTTCTCCACTATCTAGTCCATCTCTCCACCCTGGGCTATTGTTCTTAGAAGACCTCTTGGAGGTTTTATCAACTTCAATTTAGAGATGAGGAAATTGAAGGTCATAGAGATTGAGCATCTTCCCTAAATTGTGGATTTTAAGGAATGGAGTAGAAGGACATTCAAGCTACACTAGGTTCTAGTGGGTAAGCCAGCTGGGGGACGTCCTTCAGAATACTTCCTCTGGTATAGTTTCCCTTATTCCAAAGGAAAGTTAAAACTCTTTAGCTGGAATTTGAAAAGGAAGTATTTTAATGTTATAAAATGAATGCTTGTTTGATTATATGGTGTGTTTGGGATTGTGCAAAGGGGGCGGGAAGACTCAGCTAGTCAGACTGCCTTTAAACTTGCTGTGTAGGTGGGGAGGACCTGGGCCTCCTGCTTCTGTCTCCCTATCACGGGGATTCTATGTGTGTCCCATTATGCCTGGTTTGTGGAGTACTGCTATGGGACCCAGCTGGTCAACCACTGTACCAATGCCGTTTTAAAATGGTGATATAGCTGAAATATATAGATGACACCACCAGCTGCTTGTGGAATCCAGGATGTCTGCATTTGCTGAAACCTGTGCAACACCTACCTGCTCTCAAATTATCTCACAGAAGAGAAGCAGATGTTAGTGTATGGCTCACTGCCTGTGTGCAGTCTGCAAGTCGGTCAGCATTTGTGAAGTCTCTCTGTTGTACCCAGATTCCTCTTCCTGGGGAAAGGCCTGACCTCTTCTTACTCCACAGGCTCGTTAGTCCATTTCTTTTACTTTAATAAAATTGTCTTTGTTTGGTTTACCAGGTGTTACTGCGGAAATGCAGAACTTAGTCCACCGGCGGATTTACCCGTTTTTACTGATGGTCGTTGTTTTGATGGGGATCCTATCCTTCCAGGTCCGCCAGTTTAAGCGCCTTTATGAACACATTAAAAATGACAAGTAAGTCAAAAATTCTGTTCCTCTAGCCACTCTTTTTTTTTTTTTTTAAAGATTTATTTATTATATATGGAGTATTCCATCTGCATGTATGCCTGCAGGCCAGAAGAGGGCACCAGATCTTATTACAGATGGTTGTGAGCCACCATGTGGTTGCTGGGAATTGAACTCAGGACCTCTGGAAGAGCAGCCAGTACTGTTAACCTCGGAGCCATCTCTCCAGCCCCGTCTAGTTACTCTTAAGGTGGTTTCATTTTGTGGCATGATAAATCATATGAGAAAAATGAAGTGCTACTTTGTAGCATCAGCAGGGTTTGCTAACAGATTGAGTGCGTGGAGTTTTTATGGCTGGAAATAAGGGCATCCTGAGGAGGGTAAAACTGGGAAACTTCTGTAAACAGAGACTGCACTTTCATTTCCCAGCCACACAGATCCGAGTAATCACACAGAAACTATTAATTATAACACTGTGGTCAATGACTTAGGCGTATTCCTAGCTAGCCCATATATCTTAAATTAACCCATTTCTATTCATCTGTATATCACCACGAGGCTGTGACTTACTAGTAACATTCTGTCATCTTTCTCCATTGGCAGCTACATGGCGTCTCTTTGACTCCTTCTGCTCTCTATCTCTGTTCAGATTTCCCATCTGGCTTTACTTTGCTAAGCCATTGGCCAAAACAGCTTTATTTATCAACCAATAAAAGCATAAAATATACAGAAGGACATCCCACATCAAACTTCCCTGGCTTGAGAGAAGTCTGAGTCCTATCATGTGTCTTACAAAGAAAGCAAGTTCCCACAGACCACCCCTAACAGCAAGCCTTGCTCCTAGTAATGTGTGAGTTGTAAAGGAAAGTAACCAGCCTGTTTTTGCATTCTAGGTACCTTGTGGGGCAGCGCCTGGTAAACTATGAACGCAAATCTGGCAAGCAAGGCCCATCCACGCCACCTCCACAGTCGTCCCAGGAATAAAGTGCTTATCTCAGCTCCTTGACCTTCTCCTTGCCTTCCCATGTCCTTTTTTGTGGACTTCTCACTTTGGAGATTCTCCCCATGATCTCTCAGCATTGTTTTTAAGTTAAACGTACTTGACTTGTGTCCTCAGCATTCAGAGAGCGGCGCATCTGGCACTGCTGCTCCTCCCTGCATCTGCGACATCACTGCTGTCTGAGATCTGTACATGTGTAAATAGGAGTTCCTCGATGCCCTAAACCTTGGATTAAACAGAATGTGCATTGTACATCTTTAACAAATGTATATTAATTTATTAAATCTAGTTGTCACTTTATTTTGGACCTGCTGTGATGGACAGGAAAATGTGCCACAGAGCAGTAGTGCATAGGCGAGACTGAGTGACATCCCGTGGAGCACAATTCACGGTGTTGCCAGCAATTCTCACCAGGTCACTGCGTCCTGGCCTTGGCTGGTCAGTCCTTACCAGGAGCTGCATAGCGGTGGAGTCTGGTAAGGGGCATGGACAGAGTGCCTCGCAGACAGCCGTGTGTGGAAGTTATTCCCTGTAACACCAAAGCTGTTGTACGTTTTCATGTGTCTGTGTTTGTAATATTGTATAGTATGTTGTGCTAGATGAGGAAATTATTTTTAATTTTGATAATTTACTATTCCTAATGATTAGCATTGGGAGTTGGGGTTTTGTGCTTCTTAGGGGCATGTTTGTACTTAGAAAGATAAACTATCAGTGAAGATTTTCATTAGTTTCTTCCCCTTCATACAGCTCTTTCTTTCTGTCAGCAGTGGCCAAAAGTGTCATGCCAGGTGAGCAGTCTTAGGGGATACCATCATACAAACAGCATGCATGTGAGGCATTGTGACGGGCCGGCGCTCACGTTGGCCGTGTTGTGGGACTTGGAACACCCACCATGGTGCTGGTGTGCTGCCGCCGAGGAAATCTGTTTTCAAAGCCGTTTGTTTGTGGTAAACTGCAAATAAAACTATGTTTTATTTGTGGAAAGGAAGCAGGCTGAGCTGGTATTTTCCCATAAGAAGGATCGCATTGGAGACGTGCTGTGAATCGTAGAGAAGAGAATGCTCAACCTAGCTCCCCTAGCCAAAGCCCACATTTGAAGTTTAAAAGAATAGGATGGTTGGTCCGCCATCCAAGTGTTTAATGGTGAAGGTGTACTGTAAGGGTAGTGGTAGGAGCTTTCCTAGGCTGTAAAGGAATTCCACAGAGTATTAAAACCCGCAGGTGGAGTTTTTTGTTTTCCCCCCTCTCTTTTTAAGTACAAAAGCCAAACATAAGCTACCAAAATTAAGAGCAATGTGTTCAGCTTTTGTTGTTTTTTTATTCACCAAGTGATAAGCAAGTACTTTGTTTTTAAAACGCAGTATATTTAAAATAAGATCAGTGCTCGTCATGGGATCCAGTGTTAACACTGTCTGTCACTTTGTAACAGTTCTTTCTCTGGTGCATAAAGTAGGGTCCCTCTAGCAAACCCACCTTTACTTACAGACTCAGTCCTGCTATAAAGAATTAGCATTTTATGATGTGCTGCCACCTGTCATGGGATAGGACTATAAAACTGAATCTTTTGGGGAGAAAGATGTCACCGAATTGGGCATATAATATTATTTATGTTTCATTTTTATTTTTTAAAGAATGTATGGAGCTATCAAAAAAAAGTTAAAAATTATTAATCCTCCAAAATTTTAAGTGAACCTTGTTTTGCTGAAAAACAAACACAAGCAGTATAGGTTACCAACATTTGCCCCAATATTACTGGCAGGAGACTCTGCCCTCTTACTGAGGAATTCCTCCAAGGTTTTCAGTTGTGTTGTGTCCTGTGGCGTTCAGTTAAATATATTCTCAAGGATTTATCGTGAATAACGTTTGCTAGGGTGGCATGCATATATACAAACATTAAAACCCTCAGTTCAGAAACTGTGTTTCTATTTGCTGCCTGTTTTTACAGGGAATTTAAAGAGTTCTGCTTCATTTTTAATTGGGCTAATCCAGTCTTCAAGGAAGTTTACTAGAAAAGACCTTTGTGCTTTATTATTTGTAATTTGAAGACAAATCACCAATTGGGATTAGTTTTACATGACCAGTTATTAGATGGTCAGTTTGAAATATGTAGTTGTTCATTATTAGCAAATTATGGGTTGATTTTTAAATGACAAGGTACTAATAGTTTAGGTGAAAGCAGAAGAAAATGCCAATGTAAACTTTGTATGTAGCCAACCTTAAAGTTCTGTGTGTATGGTTGTGGCCCCCCCCTCCGACTCCCATGCTCTAGGGGAAAGAAGGAGATAGGACATCTCTACTCCAGATGCGAACAAGTAATCTTTATTTCAACATTTAGTTTGATTAGTACTACTATGAAATCTTCAATTGTCCATCTCCTCACATAAGTAACTTTCCTCTGATGAGTTTATCTAGTAGTCAAAGTCTATTCTTAAATTTAGGTTGGGCTGATGAATTTTTAAGACAAACACAAAAGATGCATTTGGCTGCTTCTATACTGTTGTGTTTGCAGACACAGGAGCTGGTGCCCTTATGCAAGAACTCTGGCCCTTGTCACGGTGCTGCAAAGTAGCTTCTTCCTTTCCTCTCCAGGATGGAGAGTATTAGGCTAGTTCCTGGGATGCCTCACTTACATTGTGACGTTCAAAGTTCTTGTCTAAAACAGTCCTAGAATCTTAACAGTTCAGTCATTATCAAGGGAAAAGATGAAAACAAAGTACCACTGAAGTATTGTGAAGACCTCATTTATGACGGGGCTGGAGCTGCCCCATCCACACTGTTTGCCCTGTCAGTCGGATGTTTTGTTTTGTTTTCAGCGTATTGCTGTGTCAAATCTTCAAACAAACAGCTGTCATGAGTAAGGGCTTCTTTCAAATACTCTCCAACAATAGCTTTGGCATTAGTTTAAAGATAGGCAGTATACAAGATATGTGTGTTTCCATTCCTGTTTGTTTGTATGAGTGCCTCATTTTGTAATCATGACAGTCCCTTGTACCTTAGATGGAAATGAACGGCTAAGACCTAGGAGTGTCTGTTGTAGGCGTGAGATAGAACACTCAGTGATGTGGGATGTCAGTTTTCTATTACCGCAAACACCTCTTCCCAGACCAATTTTATGTATATATATACAAAAATGCTCCCTTTTTTATGTGGTCATTTGTTGCCTCTGAGTTAAAGAGAACAGAATTGAATAAAGTGAGTGTTAGTTGTAGCCTTGTTTTCTTTTTGGTTGTGTGTTTTTACTCTGAACCCGAGTGCAGAGCATCCTCCGGGGATGAGTGATGCCTCTCCGCTTGTGCCCCAGGCTGACTGCCCCCTCCTTCATCTTCATGCCGTGAGCCTTCTTTGGGATGGAGAGTGCGCTAAGGACGTGTCAGAAACCATGTGCCAGAGAATGAAAGGGTTACATGACTTTTTACGGTAAAAAGATCTTTTGATCTTAGGGGCCATTTTTGATTTTTCTTTAAGTTTTTTAAAAATATTTATTATGTATACAATATTCTGTCTGTGTGTATGCCTGCAGGCCAGAAGAGGGCACCAGACCCCATTACAGATGGTTGTGAGCCACCGTGTGGTTGCTGGGAATTGAACTCAGAACCTTAAAAGGCAGTACTCTTAACCTCTGAGCCATCTCTCCAGCCCTGATTTTTTTATTTCTAAGTCCAAAAACTTTTTTTTCAAAAACATTTAACATTTTCCTTATTTCCACCCAGTTAGATACATTGTTATTTAATGTGGGAGTGGTGAAAAAAAATGCTCTGACTCACAGACATCTTTTAATCTGTGAAGCTGTAAGTTCATCAAAGGAAATCAGTACTCAGAAAATTGGCCATTAATTCATACCTACTCATTTCAAACAGAGTGTGTCAAGAGACCAAGAAATTTGTCTCTTAGGGAAGATGTCTGACTTCAAGGACCAGTGAAGAACAGTGACAAAGATGGGAGGGGCCAGCACACAGAGGGGCACGTCAGATGCTGGGGCCAGCGCACAGGGAGACTGCTGGGACCTCGCCGCTTCCTCCAGAGAATCTATAGCTCTTTGCATCATTTTACAGTGTTCATTTATGAATCCTTTTCTTTGCCTATATAATAGTACCTATATTCATTTGTTGTTTGGGACACCCTTGGAGGAGGAGCTTCTTGCTCAGGAACCACACACTTGTTCTTAGCTTAGGAGGTGAGTTCCTTGCAGCTGTCTGGGGGTCTGGTAAAGAACACACTCCCATAGGTAGACAGTGAATTCTTCACAGGGGTGCATAGATGCTGAGGAAACTGAAGTAATTGGATGTTGGTTACACAATGAAAAGCAAACTGATAAACGATTGACACCACAGGTAAAGTAGTCAAGGGCAGAGTGGCATAGCCCTAAGTAAGACCCAAAACGGCAACTTCTGGAGGAAAATGATTTTTTGAAGGTCAGTCGTGAGCTAGGCACATTTTTTTTTAAAGATATATTTATTTAAGGAAGAAAATTGTTAAAATTTAAACCTCTAAGAGACTTCACTAAGAATAAAAAGAACAAGTGCCTTGGTGTCTAGATTGTTCTATGGCATTTTCAGCTTTATGGGTCATGTGCCTAATTTTTTTATGGTGGTGGTGGTGGTGTGGGCTGGGGACAGACTGGTTGCCCAGGCTGGTCTCCCAACTCAGCCCTGCCCAGCCTGAGTCACTGAAACCACGCTGTGTGCCAGTCTCCATGGATATTTTATTTATTCCTCATACTCAGGCTTAAGTTCTTTTGTAGGATAAATATTAGCTATATTGGCATTGTAGCCAAGGCATCGGGAAATTCTGTAGTCCCCAGATATGTGAGCATTTCTGTCAACTCTGAGAGTTCTTAATCATTCTATCAACGTAAATGGTTTTTACCAAAGCTGTTTTATTTTGGAAAAGTGTATTCATATGGGGGACGGGGTGCATGTGGACCAGATGGAGCCTAGTCCACAGCAAGAGGTGCCAAGCCAAGGCCCTGGTTTCAGAAGACAGTTGATGACCTCGGGATTCAAACTGGCTCAACCTAATGTTTTAGGAAAACTGCGCTCTAACCTACGCAGGGGTGGTCACTTAAACCAGGGCTGGTAGCCTCAGCTCGCCAAGACTGTGCGCCTGCGCAGCTCAGGTTGCCTGGATACCTCACGCCACAAGCGCGCGCGCTCTAGGGCGGAGGGCGGTTGGGCCTCAGTTCCCCCAGGAGCAGGCGGAGGAGCCGGTGAGAAGCGGAGTCCGGCCGCTGCGCTGACTGCTGCCTCTCCTCCCCGCAGCACACCGGACGCCTGAGCGCCGGTGCGGTCTGCCAAGAGCGATGCCGCTGCCCGACACCATGTTTTGCGCGCAGCAGATCCACATTCCCCCGGAGCTGCCCGACATCCTGAAGCAGTTCACCAAGGCTGCCATCCGCACGCAGCCGGTGGACGTTCTGCAGTGGTCAGCGGGGTAAGCGCTGGCTGAGAACCTCACTCGGTTATCGAGTACAGATGCCTCAGTTCTGAGTGTAGACTAGAGACTGAGTTAAAAATCCGCTACAGGGGCGTTTATAAATAAAACCGCCTAGAACAGTGTGCTTATGCCGCCTCCTCCCCAGGATGAGGTGTGCAAAGGCTGTCATCCACGAGAATCGGACAACACAGCTCACAGCGAGCAAACATTAACACCCTAGTAACAGAAACCTAAACCTTAGCTGGGACCAGACCATTATAATCTTACTACTTTTGGTTTTTACAAGAGAGTTCTTTGCCACTTCTAAAATCACCCCTTAGAGGAAGGAACAAAAGTCTTAGCTGTATAGGCAGAAATGACACTCGGGCCAGCAGAGAGGGTTTCTTCTGGTCTACTGTCTCCACTGTCCATGTCCTCCTATGTGACAGATTTAGACAGTGTTTGGTGGCTCATACATACCTGTTGCCCTGGTGTTTTAAGTTCATTTTGCTGTTTTGTTTTGCTGGCTACAAGTTCTTCGGTTAACAACTGTCTGGTACAACTGGACAAACTTGTTGTGAGTTCACTCTTGAATGGTTGCCCCGGGGCCATTTCTGTGTTTGTCTTCTGCCAGGGCCTTTTCAGTGACCTTGAAAGAAACAATTGAGGGGGAAGTACCTGGGAACGAGGGGAGAATGGAAAGTAGGTGACCACTGTCTGCCCAAGTGTTTAATGTCGAATACCTCAGAAAGCAGCTGTTAAAAAATGAATAGCCGGGCGTTGGTGGTGCACGCCTTTAATCCCAGCACTCGGGAGGCAGAGGCAGGCGGATCTCTGTGAGTTCCAGACCAGCCTGGTCTACAGAGCTAGTTCCAGGACAGGCTCCAAAGCCACAGAGAAGAAACCCTGTCTTGAAAAACCAAAAAATTAAAAAAAAAAAAAAGACTAGCCTTAGGCGTGGGGTGCCCAGAGAGGTGACAGCCTTAAGAGTAGTTGCTTACTTTTCCCTAAGGACCTGAATTAAACCCCTAGCACCCTGTCACACAGCTCACAGTGGTCTGTAGCTCCGGCTCCAGGACATCTGCACTCCTGGGCCCCTACCCACATGTAGACTACCTATACTAAAAATAAAGGTCTTCTTTAAAAAGTGAAGTAGCACAGCATTGGGTTGTGGTCCCTTTTGTCCACGTTTTCAAAGCTCTCAGAGGAAGTGGAATGATGAGCAACAATGAGATAACGGTACAGTGAGGTCCCCCTGGCTCCCACCCGAGTTCTGTCACTTGGTGCTTCCAGGAGCCTCAGATATCAATCGTCATGTTTGCTTTGCTGATAGGGAAACCAGGGCACACAGTAAAGGATTCCTCAGCAGAGGTACCTGCTGTGGTATTTTGTTTGTGCTCTAACAAAACTTGCTTGAGGATCACAGCGTGGAGCGGGCCAGTCGTTAGCCATAGAGGCCAGGCAGTGGTTGTAGTGGCATTTCACTTGTATTTTAATAAATAAAGACTGCCTGAAGATCAGAGCGTGAAACAGCACCCCTGGCCAGCCTTACAGACCAGGCGTGGTGGTTCACACCTTTATTTATTTTTTTAAATTATTTATTTATTTATTTTTAATTTAATTATTTGGTTTTTCGAGAGAGGGTTTCTCTGTCGGTTCACACCTTTAATCCCAGTACTTGGGAATCACACTCCTTTAATCTCAGCGCTAGGGCCGTAGAGACGGAAGCATAGCAGAGGGGAATATATACAGGAAGGAGGAGAGGGGAGCTCAAGGCATTCAGTCTGAGGAGTCCCAGAGACAGGATTGCCCGTTCGGTCTGAGGATTGAGTAGAGGTAGGAACTAGCGGCTGGCTGCTCTGCTTCTCAGATCTTTCAGCATTTACTCCTATATCAAACACAAGGTTTTTATTGTTAAGACCAACTAGAGATGGCACTGCAGGTACCAGGACTTCGGTGTTTGCAGCTGGCCTTGGGAGTGCTGAGCACATTTGCTGGGTGTCTTGCGTGCCTTGGGTGCTCCCTGCGTATTGATGCTCTTCAGCGATGTCTCTCGTTCCAGGTACTTTTCAGCCCTGTCCAGAGGAGACCCACTTCCTGTAAAGGACAGAATTGAAATGCCTGTGGCCACTCAGAAGACCGACACAGGCCTGACCCAGGGGCTCCTGAAAGTCCTGCACAAGCAGGTGGGTGAACCCCTTGACTGCCTGTGCTTCGAGTACCGTACTGTGCCCCTTGCAACATTGGGACAGCTGCCCCTTGTCCCGAGGCCTGTCCTGCCACATTTAAAGAACCCCAATAGCTAGCTTTTTGTGTATAGATGTTACTTTTGTTTGGTGAATGTGTGTTGGGCGTGTGTGTGGATATGTTTGTGTGTGTGCAGGTACATGGGCTGTGTGTGTACCAGAGATCACACACCCACACATTTGTTTCATACTTTAGTTTTTTGAGACAAGAACTTGCCATATAGTCCAGGATATCCTCAAACTTGAGGTGACCCTCCTGTCTCAGCTTCCTGGGTGCGAGGGCTACAGATGTGCATTCTTCTTTGGTTTTGAAGTTCTATTTTTAATGGGAAATAATCTGGACAGTAGGAAACATGTGCTTCCTGTCTGCATGTTCATTTCAGGAGGCCAGGGTAGAGCTGTTTTCTCCATTGTCCCTCCCCTCCCCTCCCCTCCTCCCCTCCCCTCCCCTCCTCCCCTCCCCTCCTCTCCTCCCCTCCTTCC